CTTTGAGAAGGCCTTTGACAGCGTCGACCAAGAGGTAATTTGGAAACTGCTTCATTACTACGGAGTACCGCAAACCTTTATCAATCTCATTCAACAACTATATGAAGATGCCACATGCCAAGTAATTCACAATGGGAAGCTCTGTGATGCTTTTGAAGTGAAGACAGGAGTGAAACAAGGTTGCCTACTATCCACCATGATATTCCTGATTGTGGTCGACTGGATCATGCAGCAAACAGTGGGGAGCTGTGAAAGGAGGGGGATACACTGGCTGGACTGCGGAAAAGAACCTAGAAGATCTGGATTTCGCCATTGATGACTTGTGTCTGATGTCACACAAACTTGAAGACCTACAGGCAAAAACTAATAAGTTGGCAGAAAAGGCGAGGCAGCGAAGACAGGACTTCCTTCAAGTGAATATAGAGAAGACAGAAGTGATGAAGATACCGCACAAACAACTCCAACAACAACAACAACAAACTCCAGTCACCATCAACGGGAGAAACTTAAAAGAAGTAACCTCCTTCACCTATCTAGGCAGCACTGTTTCAACTACAGGCGGCACAGGCACAGACGAGGATGTCAAAGTCAGAATAGGAAAAGCAAGACAGGCGTTCATTAGCCCGAAACCAGAGTGGAGATCTTCTGCACTCAGCATGTTAAACAAGATCCGGATTTTCAACACCAACGTCAAGTCAGTGCTTCTGTATGCTCCAGAGACTTGGCGCATTACGAAAAGGATTTCCAATAAACTACAGACATTCATCAACAACTGCTTTCGCTCGCTACTGAAGGTCAGATGGATTGCCAGAAAGAATAAGCAACAAGGAACTCTGGGAACGAACCAATCAAGAACCTATCGCTGAACAAATATGCACTGGAGGGAAGTGGAGATGGATTGGGCATACACTGAGAAAGCCGACTGGGGATATGACGCGTCAGGCCAGTCGCTCGAGTGGAATCCCCATGGGAAGCGACTAGTTGGACATCCGAGGCAAGGGTGACATGGATTAGGTCTTGGGAGGAGGAGATGAGAGCTTGTGGGCTGTCGTGGAGCCAGGTTCAAAAGATTTCGGAGAACAGAGTTCACTGGAGACGTGCTACTGAAGCCCTATGTTCCATTAGGAACCCAAGGGACTAATAATATAATAATAATATTAACATCCTAGTGTGTGTCTATTCCTGTAGTCATCTGAAATAAGACGATCAATCACGATGTTCTAGTCTCTATACGGAGGAGAATGTAAGGCATTGATTGGTAAATGAGTAGTTTTTTCATGGTCGGCATAGTTATGGCTGACGATTATTATGATGCTGATTTGCTGTATCATGAGTAACACTAATTAAACGATTATCTGGATAAGTACTTCACTTCAGCGTTGATATCTGTAGAACTAATTATGAGATGTTAGGGTTGTTTACCTTGATTTGCTTATGGAATCACATATGCAGAAAATATTTCCGTATATTTTCTTCATGAATCATTATAGCAGTGTATATTTGACTTTTGGTAATCCAATCAAGTGAGAATTTTCTGAAACTACTAAGAGTTTAGATTTAAAGTGAATGATATATGCTGTGAAACAAACAGCATTTTTCGATAACTGAAAAAAGAAATAACAAATTGATCGATTCATTGAGTATTATGTGTTGATAGAATTCGTATATGAAGATGGATATCTACGTCAAAACCATGTCTCCAGTTGTATTGGATTTTAACAGTAGATTCAGACACTTAGTTAGCATTAACCTAGATTAGTACTTCACTTCATGACCAGGTAGTACACCCATCACAGCAACTTCCAAAAAACAACTTAACTAGTCTATCGCCCAAATAAAATTGACCCAATTTTGCTGTGACTCATGACTGATTCGCACTCAGGTATCTAAAGAAAAACTCCAAGTATTCAAATGCCACAAAACATACAGCTTAGATAGTAGTGTTTAAAGGACCAGTGTGAAACTACATTCTAGGAAATGAACAGTGTTCAGAAAAGTATGCCAGATTGCGTTTCCGTTCACTCTCAAATCAGGTGATTTTACTGTCTCTGAAAGCGACCAGCGCTATGTCCACGAACCTGACTGGGTTACCAGTCTGTTGCTGATTGCGTTCAAAATATTGATTGCTATCTCACTTCAGATACGTGGGAGAAGTCATTTAGTGAGGAACAGGCTGCATTATTTTGAAGTTCAGAATATATTACAGGCCTAAAACTTGGGCACTGCGGTACGCTGGGATGCATCACATGGTAAGACAATATTACACACACCAGGTAACTCCGCAACTTTGAGAAATAGCCCATAAATTTCTAATTCTCTCTCATCCTTTGTGATGAGGGTAGTTGGATTTTCCACATGTCTGGACCAGGTGTTGGATCATTCTTACTACATGTATTCGGTGTTGGTTCGTTAAACAAAGATTCGTTTATCGATCTCGCTCTCGACTCAATCAAAGCCTTAATATCGTTGTTCCTTCTCGACCTACTATTTGATTATGTGTAATTGTATGCATAGTTACATCTGAGCTTTCCTTTAAATTCCTCATTTTATCAAGATCTACTAATCTTGATTTAGCTAATTTTTTGTGTTCGGACAGCCTAATTGACCCTGATTGACTACCTTGACAAGGACATGGTGAATCAAATTATTTAACCTACAAACCATTTTTCTAAGTGAGCTTTTATGTTTAAATGCAGCGCTAATCCAAAGCTTACAGAAAACTTTTCTTAACGCTTCTTTGCATGGTAACACAGTAGAGGTTTTGAACTACCTCTTTACGATGTCACCATTATTACCATTACTACTACTATTACTAACTTTATCATTATTATTAGCGCGTGTGTTATTAATACTTCTCCTACAATGCCTACGAATGTATCTGGGTTATTCGTCAATTTCCAATAGTGATCAAAATATTGGCTGCTACCTCACTTTACGCTTTCGGAAGAGCAGCGGAAAATACTTCATGAGCAGCAGTCACATTGTTGTCAAGTTTGAGATATACTGTCACATGTTCGCGTTCCATGAGGCACCCGAAAATCACTAATTACTACAGACCAATAGCTGTTGTGTTTCATGGCATCAGTGCTGTCTCCGGCCAGTCGGAGGAGACAGGATTATGGATTTATCTGTTAGAGAATGATATATCTAGGAAGTAAACAGACATCTTGAAATTTCTGTAAAAAAAACTTCAGTCAGATAAAGGCCATGCAGTCACCCTTTTCTCTCCCAAAAACCACTGATGAACTGTGGAAGGAATAACTTACTTGGTGGCAAACAGCAGTAGAATCCAGGATGTGCGCTTCGTTCTAGTCAGGACTCGTTAGCTGGGACAGAAATGCTCGACTTCGTCATTCCTCTGCATATGTTGCGACGAGAATATTCTGGAGACAGCCATGAATTTGACATGCAGAAAGACCCCAATTTGAAGTATCTAAATAATATTACCTTATCATATGATAATATACAGTTTACACAAATTATACTTAGCCAGTGACCAGAAGCATAATATGTAGTTCGCATCGCCAAGACATGAGTTTAACTATAAAAGTCGAATACGCAACGCTTCAGTGAAGGTGGATCTGCTGTGGTCATGAAATCTGACCTCTCCCAGTTTTGGTTTCCAGACGACTGTGTTTAATCATCACTGTCTTCGAAGAATTGATCTTATGTAGTTATAACATGACGCAATTTCATATTAGATTTGCTCATTTAATATAACACAGTGACAGTATTGTATTATGTACTTCATTACGTTCCTAGCACGAATTACTGCCCATAGTTCAACCATGTGATTAGTTATGCGGTTCAATTGATAATGGATATCGTCATTCAATATGTAGAGCTATCTAAGATTTCCAGGGTCCAATAGTGTGATTATACATCACGAAGGTATCATTTCAGTGGTTTCCACATTGAACATCGTTTGCTGGCTGTATGACTGCTTACAAGCAGTTGAGAGGTAACAAGAGTGACTTTAAAGGTTACCCTAGCAACAACTGAAATAACCAAATTAGACTTTTCTGTTTCATGAAAATCTGCCTTTCTAACCGAAATGAGGACCAGTCATTTCGACTGTTGCTAGGGTGGCCTTTAATGCAGCCTGGTGACAAATCCATGACATGCCTTTATAAGGTGGAAATCTGTCAGTGAATTAAGGCTCACTGCGGTCTGGGAACTAGCACATTATCATGGCTTGACGTATGGTCGGAATTGAGCCATGCAGTGATAATGCTGCAATTTCATGGCATTTTCTGTTGCGATAAGTTGATATGTAGAAAACTACGGCTTCCTGAATGATGCTTGTTAGAATCTTTCGCTGGTCAATAAATAAATGTAGGACTGGACTGAATGAAGTTGGTTGCACTCCAGTAGCCAATCAATCTACCTAACCCAGTCACACAAGACGTCAACTGTGGCTTAAATAGCTCAGTGGATGGTGTGAATTCGAATCTCAGGCAGGACATCGATTCCGAAAAGGTTGCAGATACACCTTGCTGATGAGTGCCAAAAAGCACAAAACTTAGGTTCAAGGCTTCCTGCCGATTACCTCCATCCAACTAAAGTTAATTTTATTTCTAACATTTTACTTCATTTCTTTATATTATCGTTATGCTATGTGGTTGATCTTTTGGTGCACGTTGTGCATCAAGAATGTTATAGGAAGTCAGAGATGATATACCGTAGTGTATCAACTAACATCCGTCACATTTCTTAAAACACACTGAATTGTTAACATTTAGATGATCTCTCACTGAAAAACACAATAATCTGATTCGACTTTGATTCCTGTCGCACGATATATAGCTGAACTGGTCGATTACATTGAGAGACATATTCATCACTTAAAGCTCAGAGAACGCGAAGTAACTCTCATCTTCATCTACAGGTGTAAATAGTTTGTCTTTTTATAAACCGCCTGTCCACGCACACTTAAACAGTTGTGTCCACTCTAAGAATATCACCTATTTGCACAGTTAAGTTAGTGCCAAAACAGCCTTCAAACGAAAAGTTTTATTGATCGGTACAATCAAAATATAAATCTGCTATCAACATGTTAAACGGAAACTACTAATATACCTATTTAAGTACAGACTAGCTAGAAAATCAGGTTTCCGAATTAATAATGACTCGAATTCCTCAAAAGTATTTCCTCCATGCAGTACTTCATTATCCTCACAAACTCCACCAATAGATAAGATATGTTTGTTGGGATGACTACTTGAATTACTATTGACAGATAACCAGCTGGAAAGGGTATTGCACATAATTTTGATTGATTCCAGAGTGTCACATCCAGGATTAAACGTTGTCTGTGGGAATGCGTGATCACTAGTATTGCCCTGATCGTCATTATCACCGTCAGGATCCTGAGTCTGAAACATAAAGGGGAAGCATGAGTCAATCAGGAAAAGACAGTTCAAAGTACATACTTGTATACAAGAGTGTGCAGCATAACTGGATGACAACGAACAGTTAGTTTCGTGTGTAGTAACTGACTATGACCGAAAGCTGAATTTTCCCAGTGCTGATGACACTAGATATGTGTTTGCACACAATATCGACTGATTATGTGCTACCCCGCCGTGTAGTAATATGATCCTGAATTTTGAAAGCGAACCAAATATAGACAACTTTTAATGAGTCGATTACGAGCATATTTCAGAAAAACACAGGAATAGAAAGAAGTCAAATAAAGACAGGCCTAATGATACTACCCAGCTACCATAAACCAGACAAGTGAAGTAGCTGCCTGAAAGACTGAATGATGTTTATGTGGAAGAATGAGTTAAAAAAACCACTGTTGGTTAATTGAAGTATACTTTCGCCATAAGGTTACTTGTGCAGATGCTTCAATATTGCTCTTTCTTATACTCATAGTGAAACTTTTGATAAGCATTCTTTTGCATTTAATGAAATTCAGACAAAGCACACGCATTTCATCACATCAAACTTCTGTAAAAAAAACGGTAGATACGTAGGTGTCTGACGTCTGATAAATGCTTTTCCTAAATTAACAGCTTTGCGGCTAAACCTTGAATATATGAAATGATAAGAACTTATAAGCTTACAGGTACAAAAAACCGATGAACTCGTGCTACCATTCTTTTTCTATCAACCCTAAGTAAGTAGTAGTATGAATTCTTACATTTCCATCTGAATCATTTACTTCTAAGGAAGATAAATATGATGCAGGGCTGAGTGTTATACCTATTTCAATCCAGAACTTCAATATTTTGAAATAAATACCACGAATAAACAGGACGTTGTGTAGAACATTTTTCTCGTATTTTCACTATCAGAATAAATGTATGCTTGAGGCATGAAAGAGGCTGATGCTTCTTTCGATATTCGAATAAGTCTTGCAAATCGACGTTTGCAGGTCTTGTCAATGATAAAGTTCAACTATCTATCGACTAAGTTTATGCACAGTTGTTAAGGCCTTGATAGGTAACTGCAGACCCTGATAGATTGAATGAATCAGTCAATGTAAAGTTTTCTTACTTTCGACTGAGCCAAATGGGTTTGTCACTAATCTACCCGGATACTTTTAACTTAAAATACTTAAGTGTTTAATTTCGATGCAATCTTTAATGGATAAGCATAATAAGAAATGATAGGGCAATTTCCACCCATTTAATAGACTAATGTGTTCTGCGATTAGATCCCTGACACCTGGTTATAGGAACATACAGCTCTGTATTTGTAGTATGTAGCTAATAACACAGTTGAGTAGTGTTAGAGGATTAGGGGCAGCTGGCAGGGAGTCCTAATTGACCAATGTTTCGTGCTTGTTGATACTCGTCAGTATGGTGTATCTGCAACCTTGAAGAAACTGGTGTTTTCTGTGGGGTTCAAACCTGCACGACTCAGCGCTGTAGTTAGAAATGTTAACACTGAGTTACTCCGACCACAATTCATCTGTGGAAGTGGATTAGATACGTTAACTAATCACTGGAAAGTAACATATTTCATATTGTCTAGTCTAAAGTGCTGACAAGAATTTATCGATCATTAAATTAAGAGATTTAGCACCATGGTGCACTTTGATGTCAGATGTTGAGTAGTATAACGTGCCACTGAAGGTGACTGACACTTTTTCGCTGCCCAAACCTGAAAGATGAAATTAGTCGGTGTTATGTGATGGTACGAATCAAAGATCATTCGTCGGAAACTCTTTATCACAGCCATAGTTCAAGTGATGGATTTTTCGAAGAAACAGTTTTTCTTGAAGAACTTTACCGTCAGTAACAGGAGATGGTAAAGTAACACAATAGACAATTTATAAGGTGGATATTTCGCAACCTTCCCTTTCCAGAACAGTTACGCCACAATAATGGGTATGCTAGTTGCTTGGTACAGACACATTATAGTCGTCACACTCTTATCCAGTCATGACCACATCTTTGGAATATTATAATACTAGCCAATTTTACTTTACAAACCCCAAACAATCTGCCCATCATACAATAGTTTTGAAAAACATTGTCTTTAGTACCAAGGAGATAGGCAACAGCAGAAGCAGTCAAGTTGTGGGAATATAACGGTATATATGCTGGACAACAAATTTTGTTCCTAATATGCCTATTTGTTTAGAAAGCATCCAGCGTCAGAATAACTATTGAGCACAATAGTCTGCTTTTCATGAAGAAAAAAAATCTAAAACAACTCACCCTAGAAATTGTTAAACTGGACATCTGCTCCCATACGAACCGAAGCATGTGCTTGAAAATCACTTCAGAGTTATACTGCATTAAAAGACTAACCAATTGAGGCAACAGAACATACGGCAATTGTAACACACCTGAGAAGAGAATAAAGAAGAAAACAGTTAATGAAATCATCAGTTTATGAATAGCTTTGAATCTCGATAGTAAGAAGGTGGATAACCATAGAGTATATGAGTTTTTTTTTGCAAATGATAATCCCCAAGACAGGATATTGACCATCGATTAAATAGAAAACTAAAATAAACCCCTATGTAACCACCTAGTGATCCGGTTTGCGGTTAATGCTTGCTAAAAGCAGACAAGTGCTGATGGATACAGTCAGGCGAATGAACACGACGCCACAACTGAGTTTTAGAACTAAGAGGAAGTCGAACAGCTGTCAGTGGAAGGCAACTTGGAAACTACAATTTGGATGACAGATTGACCTAAGGAGTTACGCTTGTTTACTGCATCAAGTCTATTTCAGCGAAAAATTCAATTTTCATCTCCACTGTTAACTTTTGTCTGATTCATATTTTACAACCTTTATATTACTGTTCAGTTTTCTTTTATTCAAGGCGTATCGACAAGAAAGAATGGATTTATGTTTTTCATCAAGTGGTTATATTAAACACTTGTAAAATACTATTGTCTGATATAATGATAAACATCTGGAGGCTAGGTTAATAATTCTTTTTCGGCATTACACTTTCAAATTATCCTGCATTCAATTCAACCATACAGGGCGATATTTCATAATCAATTAGTTTACGGGTAAGGTGTTCAACTGTGATATCCACGCTGATTAACAAGTAAAACAAATCGTTTCAAGGCTGCAGATACATCTTATCTAAAACGTCCAGAAAACGAGAGACCCAAGTTGATAGTTTTCAACAGATTAACTCCATCACATATTAGAAATAAAAAATTATCTCTGATTAACTAAATAAGACAATTCTATTGCTCAGCATAGCAGAAAATGGATAGACTAAACAGCTGAAGAAAGCGGACGTTTCTATAGTATGAACATTAAGTTACGAAAAATATTGGACCATAAGTCTTTAGATTTATCAAATTGCATAGATGTTATTAAAGTGATTTGCAGTATTTTTCTTTATCTTTTGTCGGTTGACTAAAATATGAAACTCTGTAAAACGCTCTTTACAAAGATAAAATCACAAAATCTAACTCACATTTGTATTCTGGATAAGAAGAAATCAATAGATTTTGAGTAATTTCACAAGCCAATTTCTGTAACTTTGGACTTTCTGGATTAGTTATACTTTCAATGAGGACATCAAATGCTTGAAGTACTGAAATCAAATTATAAAATCATGCACAAGAAAGAAAAAAAAAACAGTTGGGTGAAATTCTCCACCAACACCTCAGTAGTGATACAGATAATTGGTTCAGCTAACTGAAAGAATATAAAACAGCTAATCAGAATTTAATACAAATATATCTACAGTGAGTATTTAAACAAAATGATGAAATGATGATGAAATTTTGCAGTCAACTCTACACCTCAACTTTAGCGACTTTGAGAAGGCCTTTGACAGCGTCGACCAAGAGGTAATTTGGAAACTGCTTCATTACTACGGAGTACCGCAAACCTTTATCAATCTCATTCAACAACTATATGAAGATGCCACATGCCAAGTAATTCACAATGGGAAGCTCAGTGATGCTTTTGCAGTGAAGACAGGAATGAAACAAGGTTGCCTACTATCCACCATGATATTCCTGATTGTGGTCGACTGGATCATGCAGCAAACAGTGGGGAGCTGTGAAAGGAGGGGGATACACTGGCTGGACTGCGGAAAAGAACCTAGAAGATCTGGATTTCGCCAGTGATGACTTGTGACTGATGTCACACAAACTTGAAGACCTACGGGCAAAAACTAATAAGTTGACAGAAGAGATGAGGCAGCGAAGACAGGACTTCCTTCAAGTGAATATAGAGAAGACAGAAGTGATGAAGATACCGCACAAACAACTCCAACAACAACAACAACAAACTCCAGTCACCATCAACGAGAGAAACTTAAAGGAAGTAACCTCCTTCACCTATCTAGGAAGCACTGTTTCAACTACACGCGCCACAGGCACAGACAAGGATGTCAAAGTCAGAGTCGGAAAGACAGCAAGACAGGCATTCATTAGCCTGAAACCAGTGTGGAGATCTTCTGCACTCAGAATGTTAAACAAGATCCGGATTTTCAACACCAACGTCAAGTCAGTGCTCATGCGTGGTTCAGAGACTTGGCGCGTTACGAAAGGGATATCCAATAAACTACAGACATTCATCAACAACTGCTTACGCTCGCTACTGAAGGTCAGATGGATTGCCAGAAAGAATAAGCAACAAGGAGCTCTGGGAACGAACCAATCAAGAACCTATCGCTGAACAAATATGCACTGGAGGGAAGTGGAGATGGATTGGGCATACACTGAGAAAGCCGACTGTGGACATCACGCGTCAGGCCAATTGCTCGAGTGGGATCCCCATGGGAAGCGACGAGTTGGACGTCCGAGGCAAGGGTGACATGGAGGAGGTCGTGGGAGGAGGAGATGAGAGGTTGTGGTCTGTCGTGGAACCAGGTTCAAAAGATTTCGGAGAACAGAGTTCACTGGAGACGGGCTACTGAAGCCCTATGTTCCATTAGGAACCCAAGGGACTAATAATAATAATAATAATAATAATAATAATAATAATAATAGCGATAATAATAATATTTCCAGCAAAACTACTAACACCATCAAATCAATCGTTGGAATTTCTTATTCGCATATTTACAGATTACTATCATATAAATAGTTTTTATTTTGGACGGTCGTCAGTTCTACGTTTCATGTTGAGGATTATGCTGAGTCAGTTTTATTGCTTTTGTTAGGGGTGATATGTACGAAGATGGATTCAGCCATTCATCCTTCTTTCAATCGTTTATAATATTGAACTTTAAAATGTAAATATAATAGCCCGTATGACCCCCCTATCGAAGTAATCTTTTCCAAGCTTTTATCTGTTCGCACCTGTGAGATGATCTTCAGTTATTTACCGATGATGAAGCTGAAATAGGCAGTCCCTCTGGGTCCCATAATAAATGATATCTTTTTGGAGAACCTTGAACGTATGAGTTTGAAGTATGTAATGAAAACAAAATTCTACAGAAGGTATACTGATAATACATTCGTTTTTTGTAATAGCTTGAAACATGCATTTTACTTGCTGAAACTACTCAAACAAAGTGAATCAAATAATAGAAATTAAAGTGGAATATGATCAGAACGAGAAGTTTCACTTCCTCGCTCTCGAAATTCAATCAACAAAAGATGGTGATATACAAACACTTATCTATCGTAAAGATTTATACAGTGGAACGTGTCTTAAATTTCAACAGCTTTTGTCCAATAAGTTATAAGAAAGAACTATTGAAAACACTTTTCAATTGCATAGTATACCTTCGTTCCAAACAGAAAGTGAAGAGAAAGTGACTGTGGTAGAAAACTGCTGCAGTGATAACTCTTGTCCGTAAGAATTCATTGATAAGTAGAGGGAAATAACAGCTGAAAATATGAACTGTGAAGTGATCGATAAGAAACGTGTCTTTCTAAATCTTGGCTTCAAATATGACATTTCTGAAAGGATAAATTACGGAATAAGTTATACCTCATCCAGTTACTAGGTTAATCGCACCTTACCAAAGGAACTGCTCACTGAGAAAATCAAACTTTGACAAGTCCCCTTTTCTTATTATCTACTACTACATAGGGCCAATTCACATGTACCTGCCAAATGAAGAAGCATTTGTGACTATACATTTGAGCAACTTTCAAGGATATCGTGGTTGAGAGATATGTTCAACACCGGTACCGCTCGTCCCTCTATTGATAAAAGGAGACATGAAATTGATATCCACAAATCGTGCACAATCTCATCGGATACTTCAGAATGATTTCAGCCTGTAGTTACAAGCATACAAAGAATATACGGATTGTCTAAAATTCACAAATCTAACGTACCAGAGAGCAAAGTGTAGACACAAAGTGCACCCTCAATTGCTAGGGATAGGCAGAAACCAGACCTAATTTATGTATATAGATGATTTTTCTATCCCTTCTCCTCCTATAGACCTCAACTTCAACCCAGATACAATTGAAATAGTGGAGAATATTTGTCACCTAGGTGGATGGTCTTGGTTGTATTGTGTTCTTTCAGCTGGGTTGTTTAATTGTATCATCTAGAAAAATGATAAAAACTCCACGACTAAACAACCCAGCTCAGAGAACACAATATAACCAAGACAATTGAAATAATTTCCTTCCTGGTTGCCCGAATGAATGTAAATATTATTATTATTAATGTTGATTCAATGAGAAAAGGGAATGAAATGAAATAAAAACAAATATCAACACTTATCATTATACAAGCTACAATGTACCAATTGCAACAACAAGTGGTCAATACATATGCTTTCCTAAGGAAAAGCACCTACCTTTTTCCACATTTTCATTATTCAATATTATTGTATTAAGTACAGAAATATCCAGTAAAAAGAGGGAATGTAAAATTGCATATTTTACTTCAAAACAAGCATTTGTTGAATCATCATCATCGAATACATCAAAACATACTCTGCATAATTCGCACAATTCAACTATATGATTAAGGTAACAATGATTATGTTGCTGAGAGTAATATGTGGACACAACTTGTTGCTGTTTATGCTCTTGCTCAACATTCTTCTCAGCAAAGACATAAATTAAATTAATATGGAAATGGATAAATGAAGTAAAACTAAAACAATTACGAAATGGAAGATGATTCACTGCCTTCACCTTGATCATTTTTATGATCGATTTTAACTGATTACTAGTCCAGTGAATAGCTCTGTTAACACTGTCTGTTGATACATTATCTGAATGAATCAGTATAGCTAATAATTCAAATATGTAGTGATAGGACTCATCATTTATGGAATTCAATAGTAACAAAATACAATCATCACCATCACTGTCATGAGCATATCGACGATTAAAATCAAATAGGACTTGAAATAGTGAATCAAATGTGAATATTCTTCTTGTCATATCGAACAGTTCTACATTATAATAATATCTCCCTTTAAATCTTTTATAAAGATTTTCCGTGTCTAAAGCACAGTCAACGGGATGGGCAAGTTTGGCATGTATGTGAAGATAAATTCGACGAAGAAATGATGTAAACAGCTGTAGGAGAAATATAAAGAAAATACCAATGATCAAACTCAAGTAAAGGATAGGAAACTAATTAGAATATCGTGCTGAGTAGAGCAGAAATCCAACTAGGACAGAAGTTGATAGGTGATGTTGGAAGGACAATTAAGGAAAGTCAATCAGTAAATCTACCTAATCCAGCCTTCATATCTACTGAAGATCATATTATATTCGGCTATCGAGCATTTTAACATTGTATTCACTGTTAAGATTAGGCTAAAGTTAAATACAAGTTCCAATTATTCGGAAATGTTGGTAACATGTATATGTTATTGGGTGATGATTGAAGGCGAAATGAAAATCTGGGTCAGTAACTCGAAGATCGCTGGTCCGAATACTGCAGTAGCCCGGATTTTCATTTCACATCCGATCATCACCCACAACCAATACAATTCTGCAAAACCATGCTTATCCCAGATAGCTGAACTGATTATATGTATATGTTTCACAAAAAGCATCAAAACTATCCCCCTCGAACAAGGAGTGGCTATCGTGACCCAGTAGCCTAGTAGGTAACGCATTGACATTTGAAACCACAGGTTCTAGGTTCGAGTCCCAGTGGAAACACCATCACTCGCTAGGGTGCAGGCACATCAGCTGATGATTCACAACCAGGACGGCACCCACGCCCTGGATTCCGAAACTATTCACTGTATATAATTACTAGTTAGATGCTGAAAACTTCTTATCTTATACCAAGTCTGTCCAGTTGGTTGTTTTGACTAATATACGTGAAACAGATAAAAACAGTTGCCACCATAACAACGCTAACAGAAACACCAGTTGCATTTGAATAGAGCAAGGACAACGAATTTGAAGTAATCATCGCACAGATTCATTGTTGCTAAGGTATCCTTTCAATAATTAGTAAGTATGTAGGAATCGGTCATTCAAACATTTCAAACTGATAGATAAGCATTCATGTCTATGAAAGATTAGAAAAATGGTTCTACACTTTGTTGGTTTTTCGATTTCTACGTTTCAGTGTATTTCGTTTCTAATAGACAGCACAAGAATATTTGTTAGAGAAAGGATGTTGGGCATTATTTTTGACGTTCTATAAGTGGGAAATAGTTTTATGTACCTTTTGAAAAGTACTTAACAATTCAATCACTGTGGTGGTTGGTGAACATACCAGTAACTGTAAAGAATACAGCAGACAATGATTTCATCAATGTAGTGGAAAATCATTCATCTTAAGTGTTTTGTTCGAAGGTCAAATTACCAAATGAATTACTGTATAGGTACACGTTGAACAACAAACAAGGCGAGAAAATGATAGTCAAAGATTGCAAGTCAGTGCTTCTATACGATTCAGAAACTTGGCGCGTTACGAAAAACATTTCCAACAAACTACAGACATTCATCAACAACTGCCACCTACGCTCAATACTGAAATCAGATGGGTGGCCAGAAAGAATAAGCTACAAGGAACTCTGACCTCACGATGAACAAACCAAGAACCTATCGCCCAACAAATATGCACTGGAAGGAAGTGGAGATGGATCGGGCATGCACTAAGAAGACCACTCAGGGACATCACACGCCAGGCTAGTCTTTTGAGTGGAACCAAGATGGGAAACGGCGAGTTGGGCATCCAAGGCGAGGGTGACATGGAGGAAATCATGTGAGGAAGAAATGAGAGCTTCTGGGCAGTCGTGGAGCCAGGTTCAAAAAACTGCAGAGAACAGAGTGGAATGGAGATGTACTTCTGAAGCCCTATGTTCCACTAGGAACCCAAGGGACAAATAATAATATAATTCTATAATAGACACTATTGGATAACAAACAAGGCGAGAAAATGATATTCAAAGATTGCAGGATAACCAAATGATGATTAGTTTATTACTTATTGCACTTCTTCGCATGTCTTTCTTTCTCACTTATTCTGTATATTTATTACAGGAGAGATAGATAGCATGAAATGTACTGCTCATGGTTTGCGTGAGTTTTTGGTTTCATTTGTGTAACTAAGACTGGGAAGCACAATAACCAGCCAATATGTAGGTTAGGTTGACAAGGTTATACATAGACAAATTATGGTAAGATTTTTCTGAAAATGTTGATATTTCAAAACAGTTAGGGACTGTATTCAGCTTTCAATGCAGGAGGGTAACAATGCAACATACCGTAGCTACTTGATTATGCTCATAACTTTGGGTATTTGACTGCATATAGTAGTCATTATAGCATTGCATTATTGGTCACCCTTATTCATTCAGTCAACGCATAAATACAGTGCGTTTTGAAGTATATGGATATCTCGTAGCTGAATCCAATAAATACTTTTATTTATTTATTTCAAACATAATTTGGTAAAGTGCAATTATCGAGAAACAAGCGATAAAAAACAATATAATCAAGACTAAGATAAAAAAAAGTGGTACAGAGGAGGGAAAGAACAGATTCGAAAACAGAAATGAATTATAAAACAAGTAGTCTCCATGATGCATTAAAACAACCTTTCATTACTTGTTTTACTCTTTGCTAACACAGGTAGCAAGACAGATGCAGCATGAGCCGAATTGCCTTCAGTTTTGAACTATATCTAATGATCTTAAGTTACTTTGCTGCACAATCTCCCTTGGACGACATCTAGGCAGTCATACGGCACTAAAATACGCTAGACTAACACAACTATCCTTCAAACCATGGTGCCAGATTACCTCACAAGTTCTCCTGACCAGTTTCACGGAGAATGAATAGTGAATTGTGAAGATGTTACTGAAAGGAAATTCGTAGCAAAAGTTCGAATCCTCGGAGTAGGTGTTTTAAGACGATCCCACTTAGTGAATAACGATCTCCATCTCACCAAAATACATTCTACCTCACCTCAGAATTATATAAACGGTGTTTCTACCGGATACTGATAATCCTATGGTGATCAAATACGCATAGTTGTTAAAAAGGTCAGATTTCATGAGTCTCGATCAGAACTACCCCCACATTAACGTATTGCACACCCGAATTTTTACAGGTAGACAGCGTCACGACAGTACATAGATGTCAAAGACTGGGGTATACCGTTTTAGCTTGGGATATACTATTAAGAGTTCCATTAGTTACATCTTCATCAGCACTCACACAATTACCCAATTAAGCAAACCTTCCGACTACTTATAACGGCTTTCTCCAAAGACAACCGCAAATGCAGGCTCCTGACAATCTTGTAAAACTAATTTGGGTTTCAGCTATGACAAGTATGTACTGTACTTAAGGATAATGATCACTAACTAGTTGAATAAAGTTTAAGAAACTTGTATGCGGTTGCTCAACAAAACGATATCGCCTGTATATTCTAAAGGGGAAATCCTTTCACTTGGTAGTGAGTATGCATTACAACCAAGAACCTACTTCAGAACTATCTCGAGGATGCTATTGATAATAAAGCTGAAAAGAAATGACGAAATCAGACCATCTAATCGAATCGTATTGTTAATATAAAAAGTAGAAAGACATGGCTGCACGCCTTTAGTCTGAGTTGCTAAATTATAGGAACTTCAACAGGTCAGCATAAATCTCAGAGATATACCTCACTAATAAACAATTCCGGAAAACAACCATGTTGAACGAAACAAAGTTAGTTATGATATAAAGTGACGACTTCTTACCTTCAGTACGTGTGATGATGTTCACCAATCACCTATGCGCAGACAGCATAATCTGTAACTTATCTAACTTCAATACAAAACAATGTGGGATCCCAATATATGAGACAAAGAAGTCTCCTTAAGAAAAAACTCACAAATACAACTTAGTGATGCTCTCAAAATTCAATTCCGTGATAAATTCACAGAAATAGCTGTATCGTAAACGGTCAGCTAAAAGCAGACAAAAAAACATGAGACTGACCTCGATTGAATCCAGTGATTTTGTCAACTGTATTAATTCTATATATGCTGAAGTATTATCTCCCAATTTTCTCACTTCACGATCAACTATAGTATTGATACATGCTTCGGCATACTCACGCTCCAAACCATATGAGCCATATTTGATTGTAACTGGTTGATGATCATATTCATGACCTAATATTTTCATGTACAACTGACGTGAAACTGAACAAGTGACATGTTTAGGATCATTTAACCAAGAGAATGATGTCTTCAAACGATCTATAATAGACGCATAATCTGTGCTAGAAATGCATACATTGGGAGCAATATATGCAGGTGCACTATGAACATCCATACTAGAATATAACAAGGCATACACCTAGAAATAAGGATAGAATGATCAATGAGTAGAATCTTTGTGAACGAATACTGGGTTTATTAAGAAAATTTAAATCAAGAGGATACTCTTTTATTTATTACACGTTGGTTGTCATTAAAACACTGAACTGAGACAAAATCTATGATGATACCTATTCCCAAATGGGGGAACGATCAACATGATATGTACAAAGCTTTGAAATGGCAAACAGACAGAAAATTGACAAAATGAAGCCATCTACGATTGGACACATATTCTATGATAGATGCTCAACTATGTTACATAAAATATCAAATAAAAAACTTCGACTATTAGAACGATACTTACTAAAAAGGCTAATAGTCACTAGGGACTTCAAATTTACTGTCAATACCTGTTAAGATGTGTGTCATCAGGTAGTTAAACCACTTTGTCTTTACACTAGTCGGTTATACCACACCGATGAAGATATCGGCTAAAAATTACAATTGCATATATTTTGAATATGTTACTCGATGAATGGGCAACAATTTTAACAAAATTGCTCCAATAATAGTGTAGCAATTCTTTAAAAAAATACCAGTAGTACGAATATACTTACATTCTTCTAGTGTGCCAAAAGTATACAAACAAACTATGAAATAAGACAAACAGTTAATTACCTGTAAGAGTAGAGAATGCAGTACATTCGATCGACCAGTTATAAACCACTCTTTTATTGAATTGCCTCCAACAATCCATTCATCAATCAAGCACAGTAGGTGATCCAACGTCTTCATAATACAGTTAGGATGCATAATCGACGTCAAAGCTAGTGAGGCTATCTTACGAACACGAATACCAGAATCGCAACCACAACTTGTAGAAAAATGGAAGTAAAATCAACAGACATAAGAAAGAAAACACAGGCAACTAGCATTCATGAGAACAAATAAAAATAGTAATAAAAATCATCATCAACCATGTTTGGATTCGTATACACTGTGCTGTGAACAACATATGTTATGTGAACGTTTGCGATACTAACAGATTGTCGAAGTCTCACTAGAGAGAGTGTGCCTAATCCTTGCACCTTGGTGTCGAGTATCTTGCTCCATTGACTACACGTGCAACTTTTAAAGTGATTTCCAGCACACAATTTAAAGACCCACTGAGAATCGAAAAACAGTAGTCATCCGTCTAATCGAGAACTCAAGACTATTTCAACACAGCCATTTAAAAAAATATAAACTGACTTCATAGTAAAGGATTTGTTACGCCAGCTCAAGGTCCAACACTAGATACGATGGAATAATGTGTCAAAACTGCTATCAGATCGTACAACAACGAGAGAGAAATGTCAACTTCTGTGTTGCTAATATTTCTTTAAAAGGCATCGGTTTTATGATGAAAATTACCTACAAGCATTTTTCCTTCAAAAAACAAACAACTGATGTGGTAATTTTCATTATTTCTGAATCTGAATATCACCACAACGATTATTTACAAAAACCAGTGGGTATGACAAACATTCGGATAGAAATAGCTTTGATAATTCCCCTTTACCTCTAGATTGCATCGCTTAGTAACTCTTCAAAACTGTATAAACTGACGTACTAAACTATAAGAAAAACTGATCTTATGAAACCTAATGGCAATACTCGGTCACTCAGTCAGTAGAATATATTCTGGCAAATAATACGATGAGTGAAGATCACGTGCCCACCCTATTAAGTCTAAGAAATACGTCTACGTTAGACAATGTCTTACTATTTTGGAATGAAAATATTTTTACAACACTCTGCATTGCTAGTTCGGTCTTTGGACAAAAAAAAAGAAAATTTTCAAACCCACAATAATGCACTATGAATCTTCTATAATTGAATGTTTCAGCAAGAATAATATCGAATATATATAACAATCAATTCCTTTCGGACCAAGTTTTCTGTCAACCCTCAATGTTCATAACTGACACTTGGTTAGCACAATGGAGGAATGAATTCATAGGATTTGAGAACACTCCATCATGTCAATCAAAGTATCTGTATAAGTCATGTGTTAGTTAGATATCTCTTTCGTCATATTTTCGAACTCTTCATCAACGTTCATTCTCAAAACTATACGCGACTTAGTGTAAGCTTCTTACATCTGCCAGTGAACTGAATTTCAATGGTCCGACGTTTCCAGTGTCCGTCAATTTTCAATCTGATGCGACCTCTGTGCAAAGTAATCAGTAAATATACGTCTTTGATATATTCTTAGTTGTATAAATGAATGACCTTGACTAATCCTGGGCCTTTCTCGAATGGTATATTCTATTGATTTTGGCCTTTTCAACCAATCTATTTTCAAATGTTGGTTCAAGCGCTTCTCAAAGCTTCAAGCAACACGACTGGCTATGAAAGGTTTAAGTGATTTAAGGCTTGTTTTGAGAATCTGCGTAATCTTCACTTTCAAACATTTAGACTCAACTCGATAGTAAACGGTGTCAGAAATAAGTTATAGGTGTACACAGTTGAAGAAGTATGGAAAGATGTGAATGAGGAAGAAGGTTGGAGATATTTCTGACTTTTCTACTCTTCAAACTGACAACTATTCCTTTAGATAGATAGTTAACAACCAGATGTTATATTTTTCACCTGCATACAAAATGAAGAATACTTCACACACCTTCAGAAATATTATGAATTCAGTAATATAGAAATCAACAAATCAGAGAATATTTGTCACAAATTACCGGATGAGTAACTTGTATAACATTTCATCTACATTGGCCACTTGAGGGGGTGGTAGAAGATGTGTCACTAGATAAAGAATACTATACAATTTGAAACGATTTGTATCTAAAATCCTGAAAAGTGAAAGAACACAGAGATAAATTAAACCAGTCACAATCGATGTGGTGCATATAGAGAAATATAATATTATTGAGCTGTAATCATATTCGTCAGCAGCAGTATTCGCAGTAGATATTGGTCAAAGTAACGGTCGGAAATCAAGTACCAAAGAGAGGATATTACATTTTACACTAGGATACTGCAGTATTGTTTATCTGTGGCAGCTCATAGCAATGACCTGACGATCTTAAACTTTGGGGATAAACACTTTATGGTTTGGACCAATGGGTTCAGTTATAAGCATCTGTTCTATTCAATTTTAGACGATTCTTTCAATGCTGCGCCCGATGTTGGCACTGCAGAGCGATAGCCTTTCTCTGGAGCCTTAAATGGTTATTCGTATTTTCAAGGTTACTTGGTTCACTATATCGAATACTGTTTTCACATGACACCAAAGCCTACAAGTGAAATGAAGATATGCGTGCCATACATTCCTTCTTCAAGCTAGAATGAATCGACACTAGAACAATTTTGCAGTAAGTGGCATGAAATAAAACAGCGACTGTTTACAACACTTCAATAAAAACTAAGTAGCTTTCATGAGAATTTTTCATTTTCAAGACCCTAAAGAGCAATGAACAGTTCAGGTGCAACATCTCGACTGATAAATATCGATAATGAACACGGTTTCGAAATTTTCAAAACAGAATTTGGTTCAAACACTAGGGGTTAAACTAGGAATACATGCATTAGTTGTTACACCTGTAGTGTTTAGTAAATATGGTTGCAAAACCACATCAAACTTCTTTATACTTTTGAATAAAGACAAATTCAGGAAACTTGGGAAAGCTCAAATGACTAGTTTTTGGAGTGTATTCGTAGTGATGGATTATTTCAATTATTCTACAGTGTAAAAGCTTGATAACTGTTTATTTCAATTCTTTAAGGTTCCAAAATGGAAACAGTTCCGCTTACTACTAAATCCCGATTTTTGTCTTTTGAATGATCTAAATCTGACTGTGTGAAACTGCAGCTAGAATGATTAGAACATGAGACTCACAAACGTGATTAGTAACCATCTGAGAGTTCTACGTAAACTCAAATAGGAAAAATATGCAAAAGGAACTCTCAAGGATCCGAAACTAAGATGAGACACAACCTTTGCTTAGTCTTGCTTGCACTCTATGAACTCTTTGTTAGTTGGTTATAATTAAACAGTGGAAAACCTTGCACCTAGGTTTCGTGCTTGTTGGAATTCGTCAGCAAGGTGTATCTGCAACCTCAACGGCAATGATTTACACCCAGTGTTGCAGTCCCAGACATTACTAACGGGCTATTCGGACCACAACTGAGCTTCTGTATGACTGGATTAGATATACTGATTGATTATTGGAGAACAGCCAATTTCATATTGTCTAGTCTTGAGTGCTGAGCAAACTCTATCAATCATTTTGCAATATAATCACCAGGCTAGGAGGCTCACTGTCGTGGTGGATGCTTGACAGATGTTAGTTGGTTTGAGGCAATCGGCTAGTGACGAGCCAATAAATGCTCTATCCTTTATCCTAACTAGGATAGATACATAGGAAGCATGAACATTCATACTGCAATCCACAACCAAAAGGTTACATAGGGTGAATTGTTTCATCTGAAAGTACATGAACCAATAATGAAATTAGGAAAAGTTAACTGTATACAGAAAGATAGCCGATATCAATTTTACAAACATTTGAGTGGTGTGACTCAAAAGTGATAGTGGTGAGGTTAGCACATTCATGTTCGAATTTCCTTTATTTCTCGAACATTTATTTACCCTAATTTAATCAGCTCATTCAACCTAAAAAGTAGCAAGTTACGGATTTCGCAAACTTATTGCAAAAGAATCATAATCATTGCTTAAAAAACAACACAGTATTCTTACTTCGGATTCCCAGAATACCATGTTAGTGTTTCAATTAAATACTGTTGAAACTTCGGATAGAGCTTAAAAAATGTTGATGTTGAAAGGCTGTAAAAGAAAAGAAGAATACAATCCATAGAAAATAATCTAATCGAAATGGGAGTGAATATTAACAACAAAAATAGAATGAATTTGAAGTAACTTTCACCGTCTAACCTTACGTTATGATTCATTGGAGGTTGAAATCAATATTTACGGTGACTTCATGACATTTCGGACGATGAAGAAACTTTCAGTATGCAGATAGTTACAGTAGTGGTGATGAATAGTCACACTACAATATTACGAAGTGTCTACAGCCGAAAAACATTAACCACTGGTAATCAAAAATGTAATTCAGAACTATCGTACATTTTTGACAATACCTGCAGGTTGTGGTCACTACAACAGACAAAGAGTGACTTTAAAGGCCACTATAGGGACTGGTGAAATATTCAGTCAAGTTTCGGTATCTCAGCTAGGAAAGCAGTTACTGATAAAATAAAGGAAAGTAATTGGTTATCTCAGCAGTTGTTAGGATGACCTTTAATGTTTCTCCATATAAACTGATATAACTTGACATCATGTGTTTGAACTGGAGATTATAAATCTACACTTTGGATGTTTTTCCGTGGGCCTCACGGCCAGAATAACGCTGCATTTATCTGCGTTTTATTTCCATCTACCTAAGTGAAAGTATGATGAGTTAATATTCTCAGTGCTTTAATTACCAGCCCTTTCGAACCCAGTTAATGTATAGTAGGAGATAGAGATTAATAACTTCCTGACCTTGTATTTCGTGAGATATGAATCATACACATATATAACTGAATACTATAGTCACAAAGCACCATCATGCATGAAAATATAATAAATCATTCCACGTAACACGCAATTATTTCACAGTCATGAATTATACGGAAATGGATGAAGAGTTAATAAAAACTTCTTGAACTGGGCTATAAAATTTTCAATAAAATGTCTTTTAAAACAATGCAGACAATAGTGTTTGCCTGAGAATTCTTTTTACTTTCTTCAGTTAGTTATAACAAAAATGTAGTTCACTTTGAAGTTAAACGAAAGCGCTTTTTTAGTGTTGTTCCCCACTGAAGTATTCAGGATTTATAACAAATATTCAGTTATGAATTAGATTTACACAGAGATAATTCTCAACAATTACTGTGATAAACTGGTGATTCCGTAAACCTACATTAACTGAAATGGCTGAGACAAACTTTATAAGTAGGTAGTCAGTATCTACTCTAGTTCGTGTATTAAAAGGTAAGGCAGCATTTGTTCGAAAAATTGCTTATGATAATAAGGCCGAAATGTCATAGGGTAATACAGTCTCCGGTCGCTGGTCCAAACATATCATTGAGATGATTTGATGGGTATTAAATTCAAGCGTTACAAAGTAATGCCACGTTCCATGTTGATACTGTCTGACTGATATAGGCTACTAAACGATAGGAAACCTGAAAATACTTGACAACTAGTTTGATCACTGTATAACACCTCAGAAATATATATCCTAGAAAGTATACACGACCTAGGAGAGCTACTTTGATTGAGTAAATTTTTGATTTGCGATTCGATTGTTATACATCTGGTTGATAAATTTCTCCTCCTATACCCGATTATATTTCCTCACATTTATGATTCATTCACTAGGTATGGTACAAGATGAGTATTGGCACTTCCATTCAATTATTTCAGGTACACTAATAACTTAAAAAAACCCTCACATTTATGCATGTGATTAACATGACAGGCGAACAGCGTATTACAAATAAATATGCATTGGAGCTAGAAAGTAATACATTTTGAAGTTTATTGGCAAATACTTATATATGGTAAAACAATGAGAACTAATTCAGGACTCAAAAAGAACCTAACATAAGTGACTACAAAAAACAACAGTACCTAGTACATATCTTATATTATGTACAACGGTAAAACTGTCTAGTTTCTATCTTTTTTCTTACTCAGGAGTAGGAAGTAATGCTGACTAAGGCCCAAACCACATAGTGAACCAACAAAAACTGGACAATATAATTCGTCGAATTTCCGTTGAATTGTAACATAGTAACACATTCCCCATAGACTGGGTGGAATTGGAATAAATCACCTGCATTCGAGGTTATGTAGTGGTGAAAAGCTCTGAACTTAGAGAAGGGAAATCTGTTTCCTTGCTAGTTTCAGCCAATATTTAGCTCATTTTGAATGATAAGAGAAACTGTTTTTAGGTTGATGGGGAAAAATGACACCTGTCCCAAATTGCACTGGGTTAAAGAAGGTGATTAGATAATTTCATGGTTTCCCCAGTCACCTCTTTCCGAGTCAAAATATAGTAAAGAGCAAAAAGTCATTTGCTTCCTGACAACAGATTCAATTAGAAAACCTGTAAAATCTTGGAGCACTCTATTTTGAAGTGTTCAAGAGAAGTTTTTCAAGCGCGACATAGGTTAAAAAGCAGTCAACACGTATATTTGAACGGAATTTATAGATTTATTAACAGTTTTCTAGAGGTCGTTCAACGCCAATCACTTTTTGAAATGAACTTTTTATTTGAGTATGAAATGTGACATTGCAATTTCACCGTGTGAAGTCAAACTATTTACGCAGAAAAAAAGCCAATAACATACATACCAATTTTTTCGACTTTTAATTTCTTTCGACCGAGTTACACCAAAAATGCGTTGAATTATGGTGCTGTAAAAGAGCATTGATGCATTTCTTATCTGAAACAGAAATTCACCAAACATGAATGATTGCGAAATAAGATGATTTATTGGAGGAAAGAATGACGTGAATTAGAAGTGCATCGGTTCAAACTGCCACACTTCACAGTAGTATGCAAAGAAGAAAAGGATCAGAAAAGTGGTTCTGAGAGATGAAAGTGTATGAGAAGACAGACAATAAATAAATGAGAGTTGATGAAGATATTCCGGACTCAGATGACGAAGAGGTATACACCTGTGCCACTGTGATCGATTTCTAGCCATCTAACTATTGGTTTCTATCGTGTGGAAGACCCCAGTCAGGCATTTGAAACCCCACTTCAAGGTCCGATCGATGGTTATTGGGTGGGATTCATATGACGTTATGCTTTGGTTTGAATGCGGTTGGTGTGATGAATCGATTATCCCTTAAAGACATAACAACAGTCATTTTAGATATCCTACTTCCTTGTAAAATGAATCTGATGATTCTTGACAAAATTCTCATAACTTAGAAGCCAAGAACTCTTAGATCTTCAATTAATATCTGATATCATACATGTTTTAAAAATGGTTAGTAATCATCATTTTGACTCGAATTTTGTTTATCGGTTCATGAAATATTTCTTGAAGTAGTACAACTTTACCTTCGATAATATAAAGTTACACAAGAATTATATATAAGAGATCACTGGTGAATCGAATGCATCCTTGAAACTTGATAAAACTATTGAAAACAAAATTAAACCCCAGCAGTCAGCCTTTAACTTCTCTCACTCGGAACTCAATTCAAGAAGGCTGCTTGTAAGGCATTCTTTCGGAGTCTCTCAACCGATAGCGGCTACTGTGACGTGGTGGTCGAGCCTGTATATTATAACAACACAATGAGCTATGCTAACTTAAACGGTTGTTCGCTCAAAATTCCACAATATCAATTGTGAGACTAAGCGATACCTACTCGCAATCTCCACTAACGCATCCATCGACTGTGATTCAGATGATATAAAGTACAAATTCTACCAGTTGACAATTCTGCTGCAGAAAGCAAGTGTAGTCATAATGCCAGGTGACTTTAACGTTCGAGTAGAGGAAGCTGAGACGGTCAAAAAGGAATCTTGTAGGTATTTACGGAATCCCATGCCAATGAATCGATAACGGTGATCGTCTATTCCAATTTTGGTCCAACAATTACTTGTTGCTAGCCAGCACTAATTTCAAGCATAAGAAGAGAGATTGTCTCACGTGGCGCCCACCGACTTCAAACTAACAATGGACACAGACAGATCACATTGCTACAAGCCATCGTTAAAGATAATCAGTAGAACATTGCCGCTCTTTCTAGAGTACCAGTTTGGAACCCGATGACGCACTAGTACAGGCTCGTATATGTCTGCGTCTTACTGATCAAAGGAAAAAGGAGGCACTGATACCTCTTTGTGCTCAATTGGTAGATGAGAACGTCACGTACGCATTTAGGGAGGATTCGGTTAAGCATTTATCTGAACCCGATAGCAATACTCAGCCTGACGAAACCTAGCGTGATATTAGGTCTGCTGTAGAAACAGCGGTAAACACAACTGGTAACCTACCTCGACGTGTCATGCTAGGAGAAGTTGGATTAGGTTGGAGAAGGATTCATGGTGGTTAGGCCCAGACGTGGTAACAGTCGATGACCTCTCTTATTTTTGACCTGAGCTGTGTTAGGAAATGTAGACTAACTGGTTGGAGTCCCCGAGAAAAAAAAATCAGTGGTTGAGGACTGTTGGTGACGCCTGAAAATCAGCCACAGTGGTGACATCTTAAGCCTTAATATAATATCGCCAATACCTGTTACCTTCAAATTGCTTATTATCTCACATGACTTCATCTACATCGATACCACTTTTTCTATACCCTTATTCTTTTTGTACTATTGTGAAGTGTGGCACCATGAACCAATGCATTGGATGCAAGGTTCTCCGCTGGGTTTTGTCTGTTGTTTATCTATCTCCTTTCGTTGTAGTGCTCACCTCTGCGACAATGGAAAGCCTTTACATTTGGGGATAAATGCACTCGTGAAGTAAGTTCTATTATAAGTAAAAGTGCTAGAGCAAGCTGAAATGGAAACCTACCGAGAGACAGCTATCTGACTTTGAAACGGGTAGTGAAAACAATTTTACAAAGGTTAAACACAACTAAATACGATGGAGTACACTAACATATAATCTTATATGCATAGTCTTCAAAGATTTGATGTTAAGCTTTGGTTCATTGGTTTAAGTACTCGAATTCCAACCAATGGGTTCAAACGACAGCACTTAATCCCTATATCTATTAAGAATTAAGAAGTTGAATCGGTTGAGCGTATTAACTAATCCACTAACTTTAGAAAGTTGATTACTAACTGACGTAATTCCAAAAGGGATACAAAAGGCTGTCTTTGTCTTTGCTGATTTACACCATTTATTATTCTGGGCTGTAGTTCGCACTGATCTACTATATGGATGTGAAAAGTGGATATTAAAGGTGGATGACATGTTTTAGATGTTCAACTGCCATTGTCTTCGTAGCATTATTATTACTTGTCCCTTGGGTTCCTAGTGGAACATAAAGCTTCAGTTGCACGTCCCCATTTCACTCTCTTCTCTGCAATCTTTTCAACCTGGTCCTACGTCTGCCCAGAAGATTTTATTTCTTCCTTATACGATCCCCTCATGTCGCCCTCGGGTACCCAATTTGTCATTTCCCAAGCGGGTTCCACTCGAGGGACTGGCCTGGCGCGTGATGTCCTCGATCGGTCTACTCAGTGTATGCCCAATCTAACTCATCTCCACTTTCTTCTGCATATTTGTTGGGTGATGGGTTTTTCCTTCGTTGGTTCGTTGCCAGCCAGAGTTCCTCCCTGCTAACTCCTATTATTCTGGTCATGTGACCTCCATTACTGAGTGAGCGTAGGCGGAAGCTGTTGATGAATGTCCGTAGTTTGTTGAAAATGCTTTTCGTAACGCGCCAAGTGATTCGCCTAGGTTAAATAAACACTTATATATTTAATGAACTGCAAACAGGCTGAACTGGCAACAGTAAGTAAATAACTCACCGATAAATGTCCACAGCCTAAGCCATCCAAAGCAATGATCAACCCCTTTTGAAGATACCTGTTTGTATGATAGTTTAAATTTGTCGATTGAAATATCCCACGAATAATGTTCAAATTAAGTACACAGGTGGCCTACAAGTTCAAAATAATGAACAAAATAGAAGACATTACAATAAACAACAATGGGGAGATTTTAAATAAAGTCCAATCCAAACAGGTTTAAAATATTAGTGTTGCTGTCTCAAATAGCAGTAGTATAGTGTTCAGAGTGAAAGTAAATAGGGTTGGCTTCCGTGCCATTCTAAGTGACAAAATTTGATGACGACCTGGTCGTAGAAACAAGCAAGTAAAGACTTTTAATTTTCATGTAAGTCTTATAAAATATATTTGTCGCCGATTGACGTGAAGTGTCACACCACTACACAGTGTCATTACTTTTATACAAGTCATCAGTTAATGAAATCAAACTGTTCTCAAGAATAACACTAACAGCTGATAATAATTATTATCACTATTATTTGTCCCTTGGGTTCCTAGTGGAACATAGGGCTTCACTACCACGTCTCCATTTCACTCTCTTCTCTGCAATCTTTTGAACCTGGCTCCACATTGCTCAGAAGCTCTCATTTCTTCCTCACACAATCTCCTCCATGTCACCCTCAGCCTTTCCGATCCTGGTTTTGACATTCTCGTCCGTGTCTATGCCGCCTGCAGTTAAAACGATGCTGCGTAGGTAGGTGAGACTACTTTCTTTAGGTTTTTCTCGAAAATGCTGATTGGTGCTTGTCGTTGATGGTGTTATTGGTTAGGTATCTTCATCACCTCTGTCTTCTCTATATTGACTCGAAGTCCCGTCTTCGCTGCCCCTTCTGTCAACTTGTTAGTTTTTGCCTGTAGATCTTCGAATTTGTGCGATATTAGACATAAGTCATCGGCGAAGCAGATAATAAGTCATGCAATAAATATGAACTGTGTTGTTACTCTTTAACTAAGGAGAATAAAGGTTTCTTTAACAAAGTCAAATACTCTACTTTGATGGAAGGTATGAGATATTGGGAATTACAATGAATGAAGAGAAGTACAAGGGAACAGAAAATATCGTTTGTTGGAAAATCACAATCTGTATCGATGAAAATACTCAACCTTACAATAAAGTCACATCAATAAACATTTTCCTTATCGACGTCCTGGTGTACAGTTTCCTTGCATTCTATATTTGTATTCAATTTCCTATCTTTTCCGCTTCCGAAACTTCACTATTCTATCATTATCACTGTGTACTTTCCGCTGTTGCTCTATAAACGACTGATATACATTCTCATGAGCAACGTTTACCACAGCACTAGTGTGAAGATGAGTATAGTGAAACAGACAACAGAGTTGAGATGACACTTGTTGGAGACATTAATACGAAGTATGAAGTACTCAAATGTAAAGTCAAATAATTAGATGCTTTTACACTAACAAGATACACAAAAAAATTCGTATAAATCACCAAATACTCAATAAAATAAATTCACTCCAGCTGCATAAGCTACTTAAATGTATTTGCAAGTAGACCAGAGGTAATTGAAGAAAACTCCATGTCACTGAGCCAGTATATTTCACCATGACATTGTGTGAAAATGATTTGCGACAGATGAGAAAGAGATTTAGTAGCTACTATCTACCAGTTAACATAAGTGAAGCTAGAGGAAGAATCGATCGGCAGAAAATTTCAATTTAGAAAATAGAAGTAGAGTTATGGAAAGCAAAATACCAGTATTTCTCATGTTAGTAAGCTTGAACAGGTATCTCTTTGAGTATAGATATGTTGGCTTTAGCGACTAATTTCCGCTAGTTTTCAATACTGTAAACAAGAAGTTGTTAGTTTATGGTTTAGGCTCAAAGCAGTGGAAAGCTATCATAACAAATTATTTAGTAGAATGATGTCCATTTCAGTTTGCATTTTAGATATATCAAACAGTGAAACAGTATGATTTTGTTCACAGTGAGTTGTTCTCTGAGTTAAAGGACAACTCATGCTGAATATCCCCAACCTAGATACAAGTATTCATCATAATTTACAGTGTTATTTACCGGAAAAACCTTCAGACATAATTTATTGTCCATATTCATATCAGGTAACTTAATACCAATGAGATATAACCTGTATCGTTCTAATTCTTTAATCCTTCTTTTGATAAGGTAGGAAGAGTTTTCAACATACCTAGAATATGTGTTGAATCAGTCCTAAATTTTTATTACATGAACATTTCTTGAATGGTTTACTTGTGTAGAGCATAAGCTTATGTGAAATCCAGTTATCATGTAATTATATGTGCATTAGGTCAGGAGATAACACCTGTTACTTAGGGCTTACTCAAAGAAATTCTCGAAGTCAAAACTTATTTTAATTGACTATAAGCTTCCCAGAAAAATGTACCATTAACTAGTGAAGTCAAAAAATACTGTATTTATTAGTACCACAAAACTTAAGCCGTATCCTTTTACTGTAAATGCAGAGGTTGACAACACTACCTGGCGTACAGAACACAAGGTGGCGGAACAAATTAGAATTCAATGGTGTAGTGAACGCTGGATAACTGCCCACAACATGAGCCTGTATACCAAGTGGTCTACATTAGTAACTTCTGTAAAACAAATGCATTTTCAAAGAAATACATACAGAGGAGAATCCTTGGTTGTAGAATGATCCGGAGAAAATCAAACAGATATAAGTACGAATAAATGATCGAAGTCAAGAAAAATCCTATTTTTTTCAAATACAGACTTGAGCAAGCCAATTATTTTGACGTGTTGATTGAAGGATATGATGTCAGGAAAAGGTTTCAATCTGAGTGGTTAGTAATGACTCTTTGTTGTTTTCTTGGCTACTTGATTTTAGTTGTGTTGCGTCATCAATCCAAATCAACAATAATAAATACATCACACAAAGAGTTCTTGGGATAAACAGTCTACTTCAAGGTTCGCCAGATAGATGGTCCCTTAAACCGCCGAAAAATCCTGTCTTTTGTTGGGACTATATCTGATCTGCTAAGATAAATAGTCTTATTCATAGTACTAATCTAAACTGTCTCCCAAAAAGTATGCAAACTAAAGTTACACCAGGATAAAACGATTACCAGAGAAGAATTTGAAAGATGGGAGCAATATGACAACTGGGAAGCATCTCACTGCTTAGGTCACTGAATGCGACTGAAACTAGCAAGATCTAGCTTGATGGATTAAACCATGCTTCAAATGAAAGATATGAAACAGCTGCATATTTGCTGTTGACTAACAAGTAAGGTAATAAAGGTTGAAGGTTGATATTCGTTAAAGCTAGAGCCACACCTATTTGTGCAATAAGTGTACCACGTTTCGAACTAGCCGCTGCTGCGTCGGCAATAAAAATATAGAAACTGATACGAACTGAAATGACAATAACGATATCTAGTTTAACCTATTGGAGTGAATCTTTGATCGTGCTTCACAGTACCAATAGCGCTTCCAAGAGGTCCCTAGCGTTCTTTGCAAATAGGATAACATATATTCAAGAGCATTATGAACAGCAAGAGTAGCGCTACATTGATTCTAAGAGTAACTAAGTAGAAATACTGTCTCCAGGTCAAATAACAAAATAAACAAGGAAGCTGAACCCATGGTTTTACGGCTTAACCTTTTCATTACAAGGGGCTCTAAATGATTACGAGTTTGCCAAACACAAGACATCTGTTTCAGTTCATCCCACCTGGTGGTGGATAAGGATGAATCTCTGACAGATAACCAAACCTCTTTACTGGCCCGCTGTGAAAGAGTTAGTTCATGCGTTAGACTACAATGTATGTGTGCATGACCTATACTTTAGAGGCTGTAATTGCCAAATGGAGCAAAAGATGGAAAACATCTAGCTATTAGTGAGTCATAAAGGGTGACAATCAACATCAGACAGTTAGCGCAGAAGCAATGCTTCGGTGAAGAAAAGAAATTAAGAAATACAAAACCGCACTCAACCACTTTGTGTACATCCGTCCAGTAGGCAATGAGCTACACCAATTGTGTGAGGGCTAGTGATACTACCTGGCTGCCTAAATCTCGGCAGGTGGAGCGGGACTCGAACCCATGACCCAATGACTGATAGTCATCTTCCTAAACCACAGCTCCAAAAACGAAACTTTGCGTGTATCCAAACTCACATGAGGTAAATGCTTCTATGAATTTTATGCATGAAAAAAGATCAAGTAAAGCAACAAGGTCATTAAGTCAATCTTCCAAGGTAGCAATAATAAATCGGTGGACGATTGTAAAAAGTTGGTTTATCAGTTAAAATCAACTATCTAATTATTCTGTCTGGAAATAATTTTGTAACCCTCTTAATTACTAAACATTATCATTGACTGAATGTTCATGTGGGAATAAACTTTCTGTTGTCGGTTATTAGATAGCGATATTGGATAATGGAGTCAACGAAAAATATTAGAGCAGTTTTGATAAATTTCTTAAAATGCCACAGGTACTTTCCGCAGCCAAATCAACAACCTATGGTACCTCTATCCGAGGATCGACTAATAGGGAACAATGACCTCTTCACAGTGATGAGTGTAGACTATTTTGGACAGACATTCATCAAATGTAGAGGGGCAGTAGAGGTAAGTAATATAAGAGTAAAATTTGGACGCTGCGGTAGAATGAAGTTCCATTTGAGTTGCCCTATTAGACATATAACGCAATGAAACAGTATTCTTTACTGAATAAATAATACTGTTTCACTGCATGATACTTCTAATAAGTCAACTCAAATGGAATTTGGGTAAGGTAAGACCACACACAGCGAAGAGCGCTGTTCAACGGGATGAGACGCAACTGTGTAAACTTCAGGGACAGACAGAAGAATTTCAGTGTGATTAAAGTCATACTCAAGATACTCACTCGATCACAGTGACTCAGGAAATTTTTACCTTGATGGGGACTGTAAAATTCCCGAATGTTATTGACTGTATTACTAAGGAGTAACTGGGGTTTTCCGTGCATAGTTCCTTACCTTATGATGATCTTTGACCTGAACTTTGTGTACCAAGTGCTGAGTGCACTTAGTAACCTAACCACTATGACAATAGTATCTTTCCTTACTACTTTCCACCTTTTTTCAGCTTGGCAAGGCAATTTCAACACTAACTACAGAATACCTTTTCGTATGTCTGATAGTTATTCAATCCTTATTAATTCCTTCCGCATTATTTTGCATTACATTATATTTTTTCACAGCTCCCAACTATTATCATATTGATTTTCATCAACTCCCTCTGAATACAAGAAGAGTTTTATTCGCCAATATGTGCATGCTGTGAGAATTCAAATATGAAATTTTGGGACATTTTACACTCTAAAGGGTTTATCTACAATCTCAAAGATAGCTGTAACAGGAAATTTTACTCAACCTTTTGTTACACTTGACATATCGTGTCAGCGAGGCATATCAAATCATACACAGCAGATAAATTATGTAACGAAAAACCGAAAAACCCACTTCATAACCCGATTGCTGAAGATTGACAATTTTAGAAATAGAAGATGTGATCGATTTAAGAAGCCAATTTACTGTATTTGTAAGTGTTGTAAGCCCATTTAGATCACGAGTTAATTCTGCACCCAAAATAGCCTATGGAAGGGAAAACAAAAGGACAGAAACAAGTATACATACTTTACGAAAACCGAAGAATAAACTAAATTTCCTAGCCATTGTACAGTATGAATAACGAATGCATATGGTTGTCCACAATTGATCACATTACCTGCCTAAGTCTTCGTTTTATTCTCTAAATCCCGATGAATAAGATAATATCAACTTATTAACTGATTATTGCTAAGATTAATTACTTATAGTAACCCCGTGTTAGTAAACTGATATGTATATATGGCGGTTGATAACTGAAGTTGAGACAAAATCTAAATTTTAGAATGATGAGAATTAATGAATTTTTAATTATAAAAATGATTTAATTGAAAAATAACTCCGATAGAATAGTTACTCTACAGTAATTTAACCTTCTCTTTACGACTTTAGTTCGACTCTTATCCAGTCTCTCTGAACTTGTATATTCTTGTGATCACGATTATGTGCACAGTAACCAACTAACTGAAAAATCAGGATACAACAAAGAAATCAGAAACTGATCAGAATATACGTTTAATGAATGAGTATTGCATAGAAATATCATAAATAGGCAAATCAATATACCTGGACGAAGAGAGGACAACCAGCTCCACGACGAGTCACACATTCAACTGTATCGTGTTCACCCATACAGGCATCTAACGAAAAATCAATACCCTGTACTATAATTGAACCTTTTGATGATGTTTCACTTAGTAATACTTGACCAGTAATTGTGTTGAGCCAATGGACTGGAATTTCATAATAACCTGGATGTCTTTATAAAAATCAAATGAAAACACTTTTGTAAAAACAGAGTGAAAGTACTGACGAGAAGTTTATCAAAGAGTAATGCAAGCTATTTATCGAGTGGCTATCGAGTTTATGTTTCAGCTTTTGAAGATGACTGTGAACTTCAAGGTTGGCTGCAAAGTTGACAAATTGTGATATTTCCATCATCAGGAGACTTGTAACCTAGATTTCGTAGTAGGTACTTTCTTAGCCTTCACAAACTCAAACTCTTTGAGAGATACCAGAGCGGATCGATCAGAGATGTTATTAGTGAGTTCAACCTGGGTATCAAAATAAGCTGTTAATCTTCCTACGACATAACCACGAGGGGTCGATGATACTGGTATATCAAAACCTTTCCGACAGCTACACTCAAACATCTAGAAAACGAGATATGTAGAAAACAGATAAACGACAAGTCATTTTATATACTTGATAAACTGTAATCAATAAAACAGAATCAGTGAGAAAACTAACTTTACAAGTGCAATACAAAAATTTGTAAATCCAGTTGCACAAAGTTCAAAGGCTCCACGATGACGACAGCATAATAACTGGGTGCAAAAAAACTGAGCTATACGAAAAATCTATAAAATACAATGAAAAGAATACAACTTATAAAGGTCAGAACTTGTAATTCATACGAAATCACTCTGCAGAAGGTTTTAATATTTACAAAGATTTCTAGAGGTTTTACTATCTATAGTGCTGAACACCAACCATGTCACAAAACATTTACAGTGACTATTTTAGAATGCTTAATAACATCTTTCATCCTCGAATTATACAACAGTAAACACGATAATCTCCACGTGATTTCATAACAAACGATTACGTGTGATAGCCCATCAGGCTGACGATTACGTATGTCTAGATTGTTGCTTTTAGATCGGTGAGAATAATTCAGAGTGAACACAACCTAAGTCAAAATTTGTTGGCCTATTTCACCTCGTGCAAACTGGTTTCATAGTCCGAATCAGCCGATAATTTTATTGCATACCTGTGGTCTTCAGCCTCTAATGATGTAATACATAAAAAATTAGCTATTAATTCATCTTCGTTGGGCTCTCAATACTGGCTATCTGATGCGGAACTATTACATATAGTTGGTAATAACGTGCCAGATCAGACAGGCAAGAGTCTGAACAAGATAGAGAACCCTTATGAAGTCACATGAATAAGTATTGGTATGTGTGCGATTACTAGTCACTGGTTGCCAAAAAGACTGAGTGAAGCCTTGAATAGGCTTTATTATGACCCAGTGTATGAAAGAATTGAGATGAATTCATGTTACACAAACAAGGACTCCAAGATTGTCGGTAATGTTAAATTAAAACACCGGAAGTGGTTAGCTGCAAAACATGAATAAAATGATATACTTAACAAAAATAAACCACAATGGTTATTATTAGTGACATTTGTAAAAGGAAAGTGAACAAATACACCAGTCAAAAATATTCACTAACCTCATTCGGTTGCATTTGATACTCAGTAGCAGTACTACTGAAGTTACAGTATGATACAAGTGATATACCCATGAGCAAAGACAATTCACGAACGGAACGCCAACAACACAAAATTAGGTATTCCGGATACTTTCGAGTTTTTTCACGTAATTTAGACAGCTGATCATTTTCATCCTCTATAACCTAACAAGCAAAAATGCATTAGGGAGACTCACTTTTGTTTAAAAAGTGAAAAACATTGAAATAGAGGCCTATATAAGTGTTAGTTTGTTGCAGTAATGATATTGAAATGATTGTGTAAAGGCATGAAATGATTATATGCATAATAAATGACTATGTCGATAATTATGATATTGACTGTGAATAAAGTATTAAATCTGCAGTTTCTTGTAGACATCAGAGATAATTTAGAAACACTATCCGAATAATTTTAGACCTATTCGCAACTTTCTTTTTTTTGCAAGGTCTTTAGTTAACGAATAGTCAAATTAAAATTTATGGTAGTTATGTAATTCTTATAGTACGCTACTTATACTGTCAAGATGGTATTTCAAGGAATAAACAGTTAGTAGGAACACTTTTCATTTTGTTAGAAGTAACCTGAAAAGTAAAGTACCGTAATGACTAGCAGTAGTCTAATGGAGAGCACTATGATATTTGGAACAATAGAGACTGTAGACAATTTCCTATATAAAGACTGATATATGCCAGATGGTATGTGCTGATGACAAGCCGAAAACGTAAAGTAAAAAGTTCATCTTGCATTCCATGGATTACCACTGAAGGTAATTAATTATTAAAAAGTAATGAACACCAGCACTGAAACGTGTATACACCTAATACAGTGTCAACAAAAGCCAACCACCTTGACTCAATAAAAATTGATAACAATACATTAAAAGATCTACTTATAACATATACCGATGAACAGACTCAAACTAGTACAGTGCACATTAAATGGTCCAAAACACCAACAAAATAATTATTACTTACTTTATTATCTGTGCATAAATCATCCTGTGAATTTAGTAGGACACCTTCAGGTGATTCATGAGCAACAACTGGTAGGACAATTTCAGATATACGAAGACCCAAAGAAATTATACGTTCTATAATACACATTCCGTTGACTTCCTTAAACAATGAACTGGAATGAAATAAAAATTATGTTTCGTATTCAAGGGAAATGAGTGTGAGAGAGCCTTAGATTGACAAACTGACCTTAAGTGGTGGGCTGTTGACTAGTGTTGGAACGACAACCTGATTCAAACTACGTTATTAGCTAGATACTAGACTGAAAATATGTGAGATAGAAACCTATTAGAAAATAATAAACAGTAAGACATTAAAACAAGATGTTACCGAGTAATAGGATGGAGGAAATGAAACCATACAAAACTGGGGAAACTCCTATAGTTGTTGTGTCCTGATTTTGAACTCTACTGGAAAAAGAGGTTTCAACTTTTACCAGAGTCAAAACTAAAACATACACTTGGTGAATATGTCACCCCTGAACCGCTGTGGATTGGTTTCAAGTGGTCAATATTTTCAAACTACAGGTAACTTATGATACTGTGCTAATTTAATTTCTCAACAAGGTTCATAAAGACTAATGTATTACTATTAAGATCATTGTTTTCACGAAGTTCAACAATGAATACCTCCAATAAATCTCAATTTAACTAAGAACAAATTATGTTTGGATGTCTTCTGCATTACTGATATAGCAAACAATACTCCAGTCACAAAATTCCAATCAGTTTCAGGATATCTAATAGTAAGCTTTTGAAAACAGAAGGTTGTAAAGTATTTGCGCCTTCCAACTCTCAGTTCTGCTCCTTAAAATATCTCAGTATGAAAGTTCGAAAGTGAACATATTTATTCAGGGAGTTACAGCTTTTGATCTAACTGCTTAAAAAAATTATATCTGGTATGCAAACTAGCAAGACTATTAACTTTAGAAGGTGAATTATTTAGAATAATGGTGGTATTTGAACCTACTGATGACCTATGAAGTTAGAAGCTACTGTAATGAATACGCACCAGACGTTGAGAAGAAACTTAGCTAGCGAAAACTGTACTCGGGATACTGACAGTATGACGTTGGTAACCTATAGATTGCTTTGATCAAATGAAGGACAGAATAAGTAGTAAAAAGTTTAAATGAACAGATGTAACCGAAATTTACAGTTAGTGTTCGACAGACTATGGTGATGAGTGTATATACAAAAGAAATTGACTAAGATTTCTGGTTACATTCTAAGGTGATGGTGACATAATCAACAAATTTACAGGAAACTAAACAACATACAAGCCTCATTGGCAAGACAGAAAAGAAGAAAAGTATAAACTTAAACGAATGCCTATAAGTTCAGATGCACTACACAGAAATAACAGTAGGAGAAGATGGAAAACACTGAAAGGAAATGATTACATGAAGAACAAGCTGAATATGGTGTACACTGTTTTAAGGGAAACTAACAGTCAGTCAGTTAGCAACAATATGAAACGTAGCATTACTGCGTAAAGGTTCAAGCTGCCATATCTCAATATTAACACATTAAGTTAGAAGGTACCAAAATGAAAGAGAGAAGCATGAGGAAGACAGTAATCAAAAGGCGTTGAAAGTTATAACAAGAATAGTTTCAACCTACCATGAACGTTATAAATTACGTTACGTAATGTTTTCATTAATTCCTTAAAGAAGTAAAATATGCCTAAAGCTGCTAACAATAACACTTAGTGAATTCATTGATTGATACCACGACTTGAGAAATTGCAGCAACTCAAATAGGCTGTTTGTTGACGGAATTTCAGCTCGGATATAATGCTTCTATTTAGTATTTGCCAACTTATGACACCCCTAGTGCCATAGATATCCGATATAGAGCATACAGTGTAGCAGTCTTCTCCGTCCTACTGAAGGACAATGAGACATAGTCGTCAAAATCAGGGGACATGAGCGGCATTCCTTGTGTGTAGTTAAACCACTCGACGAGAAATGCTGAGGTCATGCGTGGAGTATTAGACAAGGAAATCAAGTAAGCTGATGAGACTGTGGATCTTCAGCAACTAAGTTAGCTGGAATATGCTCTGAGTATGTCAAGGCACCACCTTCCTCGATTCATAATGTTGGCTAAAAAAGGAATAGTTCATGAAAATACTATGGATGGGGAAACTAAGTATAAACTATTGGAGATGAAGGCTGTCTGTCTTGAGTTGTCAAGAAAATAAGAATAAACAAGTGCACACTTTTGGTGATATAATTCAAAAGCAGCTAAAACTGCATAGATCTATACACCCTTTAATATCAAGATTTTGAGTATTTTTTTCTAACCTTCATTTATTCGCTCCCTCTTCTTAAGCACTTTCCTATGTAATCACTTTTCTTTGTGCATCCACTTCCTCTTTCCGTACTATTGTGCAGAACAGTAACTTGAACTGACATAATTCCGCATATGCTTCTATGCTGAATTGTCTCTCTGTCTGGTTATAGTTAACTTTTTTGCCTACTACGGTTGGAAAATAACGTCTGGGTGAGTTTTAGCTGGTTCATACTTAAAGGTATACAACTTTATCAAGTGACTTATTACACGTATTAAGGAATGGGTACTAAAACCGCAATTCTGCTTGGTAGCTTCATTGTCAGTGAGTAATCCTTCGAAAATCCGTAATGTGTCAACCACTTTTGAACGTCCCATCATCATTACCAGAGATTGAATTGGTGCACATCGACTGCAAAGACATATGTAGAAGTAAAGTGATTCGCATTTACAGATAATCCACAAGTAATCCTCAAAACATATATATCTGAGACAATTTCCCATTGATTTCAAACTTCATTGAAATCCTAATTTCACTGAGGTAGGATTAGTTGGTAACATTTATCTATGAGTTGTTTTACGGAGAAATACTTTAAATTCTTTTAAGTGTTGTTTAATACCATTAAAGTTGATAAAAACAAGCAGACGCATTGACTGCTACAAAAACAACGCAGAATCCATTACAGAGATTTCCAAACCTTGGAGCAGAATTTAAAGAAGTGCAAAGGAAAAGAATGATATTAAAATGAATAAACGTGTATAAGAAGGGAATAAATCAATAGGTCAAGTTGGAGAAAATGTTCAGGATTTCAAATTTTATACATTCCTGCCATTGTGACAGATTTTAAGTCAAAAGATCAGGAGTCACCAGTCATTGGTTCCTATCGCCTTGAGGAATCAAGCCTACATGAGCCTAGAATACAACCAAACAGCTGTACAGTACATTTAATTTGGGAGTTTGTGGAGACTTATTGATTTGAAGTTGGTATTAATCATGAACTGACACCAATTCGTCAGTCCCCACAAACCTCCAAATGGAATTAATCTAGTGCTCATTGGTCACTGACTTCGTGAGATGACTCCTGAAGTTCCAATGAGAAGTCTCAACCGATGGGACAAAGCTAGTAGACGTGAGGACAGATACCCAACGATGATATTGGGTGACGGTTACGCTATGTCGCAAACTGATAGAGGTCGGATATATTGACTACTGAACTCCTAACCAGTGGCTCAATGGTAAAGTGCTGGCCACGGAACCTGGAGGTCCTAAATGCGCACTGCTTAGGAGTCCTATACTAGCATAAAACAGCCACCTAGAGCCCCCAGGTTTCCAATGTTCCTTTAATTGATGTCAGTCCACGATGAATACCAAATCTGCAGTGTCTTGGTAACTGCTCACACAATCAAAAGAAAACTTGACATTAATGTTTTATAAATGTTTAGATGGGGATTTCTGCGTTGCAGCACGAAACATACTTTGGTTTTAATGTATTTTCGATACACAACTTAGGACTATTGATTTAACGATTTAACACTAAATCGGGGCAGTTGAGGCCACAATTAAAATCCACTAACCGAAGCCTGTATAAACACATATTTACGTCAGTCCTCGTACAATGACCATATCATTTCACCGTCGTATCGAATGAGTTACATTTTATGATAAGACAGATGAATACTAAGGAAATGACAATAGAAACATACCTTGTCTGTAAAAATGTATTCCAATCCTGAGTAGCAATGCTCCTCGTATCGTTCTTTTTTGACAGCCTGAATGCGGTAGTATACCAATGACAGCACGTATAGTACAAAGCATAGCATAAAACGGTTTATAGGTCACAACAGCCATCAGACCATCACTAGGTAATTTTTCACACAGTAAAATCTGTTCTTCGAGGTGATCTAGGAGAAAGACTACTGCAGCGATTGCTTTGTCATCGATGGACTGGCTAGAGGGGCAAGATGATAACAAAGTGCTGTCACAACGGGAGGATACGTCATACGAAAGAAGAGGAAGTGAGAATTTCCCATAGACAAGAAAACGTAATAGATCCCCGGCAATAGGACTAACATCGGGTTTTGAACTTTGGGCGTAGGTTTCTAGTGTATTCGTCCACAACTTGATAACATGTTTGGGATCCTAAAAAGGTACCACAAAATAGAGAATTAGTTTACATACAGCTAGAAGTGGAAAATATGTTATATTAGATAATGAACTATACGTACTGTCAAGGTTAATGATACCACCTTACTGGTAAAGTCAACAACAAATTCAGATGGCCCACAGCCTCACACAAAGTATGCACACAAGTCAGCTCTCTAATATCAACTGACGTTGAATATACATGGCAAACCACTGCAACTGGCTTTAATGAATGCAAGATGACAGCTGTAATCAGCACTGGACAAGACGCCACTCCAGTTTGCGACATCAAAATTCTAATGGGCGACATGAATGCCAAACTGGGATAGGACAACACAGAAAGAAAACTAACCATGGATCGAGAAGCATTCGGTGAAATGAATGAGAATGGAGAACTGTTTGCAGAATTCTGTGCATTCAACGATTTGGTGATTGCAGGCGAGGCACTGTGTTCAAGCACAAGGATATCCACAAGCCAGCGACATGGATTTCACCAGACATCAGGACACACTAAATATCAGATCGACTTCATCTCAATCTCAAGAAAGTGGAGACGCAGCCAGCCTACTGGACACAAGATCAGATGAAGAAGGGGAGCAGATGTAGGTGGTTCACACCACTCACTGTCTAGTGCAACGAACCTACCTTCGAAATCAAGTTGAAAGCCTTCAAGGAAGCTGGTGATAGACCACAATTCAAGTTCACCATACAGAACAGAAACTGAAGGACAAAACTACAAAGAAAATCTTCACGTCAGCCAGCCATCAAGACAAAATGGGAGATATCGAGCAACATACCCGAAGAAACCTGTGTGGATAAGCAATGGAAATCTTTGAAAGAGATGTGGAAAGAAACCTGCACAACCATATTAGGAAGGAAGAAGAAAGAAGATAAGGAATGGATCTCAATGGATACATGGAAGCTGATAGACCAGGAAGAGGAGGATGGTGAAGCAGAAGATAAACCAGTGCAGTGCAAGGATGCTCAACAACAAGAGGAACTCAGTACAATGCATCAAACAATACACTGGACAAAGAAGTGAAGAAGAGTGCGCTCAAAGAAAAAAGACACTTCTACGAAACACTGGAAAGTGAAACAGAACAGGCTGCAGGTAGGAGAGACAGAGAGAGAACTGACAACATTGTATCAAATAACCAGCTTACCATCTGGGAAGACATCAACACAGACGAAACAAATAAAAGATGAAGAAGGAAATCTAATTACCAGAGAAGAGAAATAAAGGAAACAATGGGCTGACCACTTCAAGAAGCTCTTGAATCGACCACCACCGCCACCATCTGCACTTCGTCCAGAAATACCACCTGCAGCCGCTGAACTACAAATGAACATAAATCCTCCAACAAAAAAGGAAGTCCTGAACGCCATACAGATACTGAAATGTGGGAAAGCAGAAGGACCAGGTGGGATCCCACCAGAAGCACTGGAAACAGAAGCAGAGACAACAGCGGATATGCTCACATCACTATTGCAGAAGGTGTGGAAGGAAGGGAAGGTACCTGACGATTGGAAGAAGGGTTCTCAAACTCCCGAAAAAGGGCGATCTAAGCCTTTGCGAGAACTGGTGACAAATCACGCTCCTGTCCACCCACAGCAAACAAAATATTAAGCCGCATCATCCTGGAGAGACTAAAGGATGCACTGCATTCAAAACTACCACCGGAACAGGCAGGCTTCAGGAAGTACAAATCATGTGCCGACCAAATTGCAACGCAACACTTCGCATCATCATAGAACAGAGTATAGAATGGCAGTCAACTCTCCACCTTACCTCAACTTCATCGACTTTGAGAAGGCCTTTGACAGCGTCGACTGAGAGGTAATTTGGAAATTGCTTCATTACTACGGAGTACCGCAAACCTTTATCCGCCTCATTCAACAACTATATGAGGACGCCACATGCCAAGTAATTCGCAATGGGAAGCTCAGTGGTGCTTTCGAAGTGAAGACAGGAGTGAAACAAGGTTGCCTACTATCATCCATGATATTCCTGATTGTAGTGGAATGGATCATGCAGCAAACAGTGAGGAGTGAGAAGAAGGGGATACGCTGGACCGGGGAGAAGATACTAGAAGATTTGGATTTCGCCGACAATTTGTGTCTAGTGTCACACAAACTTGAAGATCTACAGGCGAAAACCAACAAGTTGACAGAAGTGGCGAGGCAGCGAAGGAATTCGGGACTTCAAGTGAACGTAGAGAAGACAGAAGTGATGATGATACCCAACCAACACCACCAACAACAACAACAAGCTCCAATTACTATCAACGGGATAAACTTTAAGGAAGTAGCCTCTTTCAACTACAGGCGGTGGCACAGACGAGACAGGCGTTCATTAGCCTGAAACCAGTGTGGAGATCTTCTGCACTCAGCATGTGGAACAAGATCCGGATTTTCAACACCAACGTCAAGTCAGTGCTTCTGTATGGTTGAGAGACTTGGAGCGTTACGGAAGGGATTTCTAACAAACTACAGACATTCATCAACAACTGCCTACGCTGGTTCGTTACTGAAGCTCTGATCAGATGGATGGGCAAAAAGAATAAGCTACAAGGAACTCTGGCTGGCTGGCAACGAACCAAACAAGAACCTATCGCTCAACAAATATGCAGAAGGAAGTGGAGATGGATTGAATTGGGCATACACTGAGAAGACCACTCGGGGACATCACGCGCCAGGCCAGTCTCTCGAGCGGAACCGAGATGGGAAACGGCGAGTTGGGCGTCCGAGGCGAGGGTGACATGGAGGAGATCGTGTGAGGAAGAAATAAAAACTTTTGTGCAAACGTGGAACCAGACTTAAAAGACTGCAGAGAAGAGAGTGGAATGGAGACGTGCTGCTGAAGCCCTATGTTCCACTAGGAACCACAAAGGACTAATAATAATATTATTATAATACATCGGCGCCACTGACAACGGTTCTGAGCCATATTATCTAGAGTCTCCAACCACCAGTTTCTCGTGTCAAGCGGACCCCAACCGGTTAGACTACATCGCAATACGTGACTCAAACGAATAGTCAAGGACTTCATGCATCAATGCCATGTTTTAATCTGGTCAACCCAAGGCAGATAGTGGCTAGGTGTACCTAACACGTCCCAGTCAGCCATCATAGTCAATGAGGGTTCACAACCACATCCCTTAAACCATATACCTGACTTCTGCGTTACTCACATGATAACACGATGAAAAATATCTTTATGCTACGAAGACAGCAGGGGTCAAACACCTGAAGCCTTCTCATGTCTTCTCAAAGAAACATGAGATTCAAGTTATCCACTGGTTATGGTTTATTTGCTTAGATGCTTTGAAATATATTGGGTTATTCGTTGTGTTCCTTGCAGACTTTTCAGTTCAAGGCCACAAGATGTTGGCAGTCATTTAGATGCGACTAAACAAAACCGATGATTACATTACTGTATCCTTTTTTTCAAAGTTTATTCAGTTTTGACTTAAAGTCCTTTCCAACTTTTTTTCATGTTGCTGATTTTCTTTGTTCGTAATATCTCCATGGAACATGTTAAAGCTTGAAGTAATGGATATTATTGAGAGGTGATACGCACAACAACACTTAAGTTAAACAATAAAGAGTGGAAGTTACCACTAAGCTCTTTAAAACATAAGAGCAACATCAGACTAACATCATGTGTGTAGTAGTTTGAAGTGTCAAGCTGCCAAAAGGGATCTCAGAATATTCACAAATATAAATATGAAGATAATAGTTATCATAGATTTAAACATCACTACGTAAACTACTGAAAAACAAGTAGTATCGAACAATTGTTTCATTCTCGTAAGAGTGTTTTCAACAGCGAATAAAACTGTACATTAGTTGAAATTAAAAGGACCACGTAGATTAAACTTACAAGATAACCTGAAAACTCCAGTCGTAAAAGTATTTTCACTGCATAATCTCGGTCAACATCATAACGACTGCACAAACCAATGAATAGAAGTGAGCATACATGTAAACCGGAATGGTTAGTCTTGTCACAATTTAAAGCATTTTGATAGTTGGATAAATCAACAACTGGAAATAACTTAGTAACTGCTTGATTTAAACAATTCATAATCCGAATCATGAATTCTGTATAGGTGAAAATATAGTTAAAGATAAAATTCATTAATTAATGTGTTTAACTGGAAAATAAATTAATTTTTCTGAAGAAACATGAACTGCTTACACTTAGCAGATTGGTACAGTAGTACTATCAGTAAACAAGGAGAACCTAGATGTACATATATTACAAACGAATTGAAGATAATTATTTACGCACACACAATGATCAGAATTTTATAAGCTTGAATAATATTTCGAGTAAAATTACTACCCATGATCATACCAATACTGGGAATTTTAATCATACCAAAATTTGATAGATCCCATCACTGTGTGTAAACATTCGTTTTACATTTAGATTTAATGAATTAATCGATCCTATAATACACGAACTCTTCATGAATTTAACTAGGTTCAAGATCTTGAGTTAATTATCTACAACTATGCAACAACCACTGTACTATATCGAACTGTTGAGTCAATTACCTGAACATACTTCGGCTTTTGATCCAGATCAAACCTAAGGATTATTTGATAACCGACCAGTGTGAATAATTCAATTTTACAGGAATTCAATCGCTGTCAGAAATCGTCAGTGGTAACTTTTCTAAGTGTCAAGTATAGACATACAAGCTTGAGTCGCATACATAGGATACTTTTCATCAACTGAGTATCTTGAAGTAATCAGTAATGAACTAGTGTCACTGACTAAATTCTGTCAAATGAATTAAATAATGTTGAAATTCTCTTCTAACTCAAACTTCTAAACATCACATAGTTGGTGGAAATCTATGAAATGATAAACTTGGACTCATAATATTTTTCTCTAACTTTTGCTCTTCCTTTTTCAAGCTAATAAGTAAAAATAAGTATATGGAATAATTTGAGCATTCAAAGATGATGACTGCATTTGGAAAAAAACTCAAGAACCTTAGTATGAATCAAAGCAGAGGACTATAGCCAATGGCTACAAGCTAATTTGAAACGATTATTAGACAGTTTTAGTATATACTGAACTCTAAGAATTCCTACAACCAAATCTTTTACCTTTCTGTTGAACCGAAATGCATCGGTGTGTAAATTATAACCATATTTGGCGACTTTTTCGGATTTTTTGAAAATCAAAAGAAGTACCCAAAAATAATACACAACATAGTCAACATTCTCGAAAACCATTTTCTTTAGCGTAAAACTATCACAAAAGTCAGAGAGGTTACAAACATAAAAACAGATTAACTGATATAAAGATGAAGTACAGGACAGAGTAGTAAATGTTGATGCAACTAAACCAGGTGAAGGTGTTTCTAAGTTAAGCTATGAGCCATACTTATGTGACAGTGTACGATGATACTTGGTTGCTCAAAACGAAAGTAGCCCACTCAGGACATACTAACTAAAAGCAAGATGGTAAATTCAAAGAGTAACATTTTCACGTTAAAACTGTATCAAACAAAGACAGCGTAAAACGAATGACACAAAAACTACCAAAGAAAGCATAAAAAGCAAGAATAACAACTTAAGCTGGAAAAACGGTTCCACTTTACTTTGTTGATATCTTGTTATGAAACAATTGAATGAAATGATCTTTGAGTGAAAGGAATACATAAGACAGGTCGATAAAACCTCACAGAGGTAGAAGAATTAATTTCTGACCATTCGCTTCCTTATGAAAGTCACCTCTTCAGAGAATAAAACCTGCACAAGTTATCGCATGATTAAATATAAATCGCCAATAGAGATGAATCATATCACCTTGTTCATGCATGATAATAACACGGGACTAAATGTTACCGTTATCAGTTATTAGTCCATGAGTTCAAGGTGAAGATGTGAATATATGTGTACATGTGAACGGGTGTGAAAGTGTGAGAAAAGTAATATGAATGAGAAATCCAGTTTGTTTGTGTAGATGCACTTTAGTTATGAATGGTGTGTGCAAAGTGTTATTTTGGATTCACTGTCCAAGTTATTTGGGTAGTTAGGTGTTGCTTTTTGTTCAGTGCTTTGGGATTCAATATAATGTGAAATGCCGTAGCTATACCTGTCTTTCTTGGTAGTTTGAAAATACTTTCTGAATAATTTTAATACTTCCAATGTCAATTTTGTGGCTATGAAAGATGGCATGAACACCAACTGCCGGTTTAATTTGGGAATTTTTCAGTTCCATAGGATTATTTGGAGGTCGTTTTGTGTAGCTTACATGTTTTTTAACATGAATCAAGATTTCATGGGATGATTCTCTAGTATAACAAGCATCACAATTGACACAGCCTAATGTGTAGACAGAATTCTCTGTGGACATATGAGGAATCCTTCCTTTTAAGTGAAATAAAGCATTCATGAATGTTGATTTTCTTGCAGAAGGATTTAATTCGGTATCTTCCTAAAATTCTTTGTAAATCATCAGTTTTACCTTGGTGGGATGGTAGAACTACTGTACTAATCCAAGACTCATCACTCAGTTTTCCTTTTTAATCATTATGCTCATGGTTTTTAATCTTTTGAATGAAATTTTCAAGGTAATGTAATACATTCGTTATGTTTTTTTTACTTTCGTTTGTCTGTCATCTTTATTAGTGACGAGCGTTGTGGCCTCCGTGAATAAATTCAAAGGTAGTGGAAGCTTAGCATTGAGTGGATGTGATGAGTTGAAATCAAGATGCAGATTTTCATTTCGATTCCATTTAACTAAACAATCCAAAAATAATAGTTCACCACTTGCATTTTCACATTCGCATGTCAATTTGATGTATACAGAATAAGTATTGATTAACTTCGAAAACGTCCTCATGTTTTTTTGTAAAGATTAACAATGAATCATTCTTATATCCGAGTCAAATACGTGTTTTGGTAGAGCTGGTGGGGACCATGAATTCATATGAATGATGAGGAGATGGGGGACACAAGAGAACACATTGCTGCTACTTCATCTGTCATGTATGAACAAGGTGATCTATGATTTATCTCCATTTGGTATTTGAGCGTAAGCATGCAATAACTTGTACAGGTTTTATTATCTAAAACCGTGGCTTCCACGAGGAGGCGAAACGTTAAAAATTTATTTTTCTACCTTAATGGGTTTTACAAATATATTTCCCCAAAAATCTACTTTTTCGCCAGTAACTTAGATGAATAAATTAGAAGACAAAGCATGCAAAATGTTGTGAGTTAGTTTCAGCCAGTTAAAGGGAGTCTATACAGACACCTTTCGTTTAATAAAAGATTATGTATTCGAATTAGATGGAAAGAGTCAACAACCAAATCTAATGAATGATTTAATCAAATAACATTCAAGAACAGGTTACTAAGGTTGACAAGGGTCAACTGTAGGTTCTTGTTGAACATATTAATGAGGTTTAAGACATTTGATTATTTTAGTCTCAGGAGAATTGAGCTAGTTTTTTGCTTATCGTTTTGAGAGAACTAAAGACGTTTGCCTGGTGTCCTGTGTCAACCTGATGTCAAGTAATTGTGCTTTTTCGAGTGTGACTTCCCCTAAGTCTCAGCCTGACAAGAAATGTGTTCCAAAAATTTAAGGTAGGTCCTTATTTCTGTTTTTTTCCATTGAGAACCACACAAAAATTGCTACACACTGTTGTAAGTAATATAGGAAAGATGGCTGTTGACTTTTGATCGGACTAATGAACAAATTGTTTGATACACAGCGCTTAACCTGGACATAGGAAACGTTCTAGCCAATGAAAACCCATTATCTCGTAGGTATCTTTCAATGGTTTGTGACCCTTTCTCTAATTTATCACAGAAACATACCATTTCTGTTTCGTGAAATAGTATTTTATGTATCAGTGTATAGTTAGTAGAACAAAACTATTTTCTACGTTAAACGGCGATATCCAGAAAAGTGTGATTTTTTGGATACTACCGACATAAAATGGATCTATCTGTTTTATCTTGCTCTAATTGTTGTTCTTGCTTTTTTCAAGTCTATAAAGGGAAACTCGTGCAGTAAAGTAGAAAAAACAAAATTTACCTGAATCTCCATCAACATGAAACACCGAATAAAAACAATCAATAAACGTATGTAGTCCAGCCAAGCCTAATGACAAACGAGGTGCTGGAGATCCAGGATGAATACACGACAAGAGGATCGTTGCCATTTTAATGCTAAAAGTCTAAAATGAAGCTTAAAAATGTATGTGTAGTCTGAAAATAGAAAGTGTTTCTAATTTTTATAACTCAAAGAAAAACCATTACACTATATGAACGCAAGTATGCACAATCAGAATAAATATTAGTCAGCATATGTACGCTATTGGTACGGTATTAAAGAAAATTGTAACAATCTGATCTGAAATGATTATTGGGGTCTGAAAAATCTTTAGATCACTGAAATAAATCTGTCAATCATAATTAGCAAATCTGTAGGTGAAACGTTTCAGATCATAGAAATAGCCCTTTGCCTTCTATAAAACAAAGAGATCATAAACCAGTCAAGAACAGCTGTTCATTGCATAACTGATCTTCACTGTCGAGCACTGGTAACCAGTAGAGATAAAATGTAACCTGTACTTTCCAACTTCATTCGGTGAGGGGAGATGAAGTAACTCGCACTATTATATGGTGATGCAAAAGATTTACGTTTACACTGTTTGCCTCCTAGTTCATCTAACTCTCATTTCATGTAGAACATTAGGAATGACAAGAAATTCTACACAACTTTACGATCCTAACATGTTATAATTGTCGATATGAACCCTTATACAATGAAAACACTTTTATAAGATAAACTTTTTGGTTCAAAGAATCCAATCAAATAAAATGTAACTCAATCACTTCATGCCGTCTGCAAGTTACGCCTATTCTATGCAAGTTAATGTCACTTCCCAGCCTCAAGAATAGAAGTGGACGTGTTAGCGTTTGAATATATTAAGACATTGTTTGTCGGGAGATTGAATCCCAATCTCTAATAAATACTGATGTATAGTACGAAAACTTAATGTGGGGTGATAAGTCGGTACATATTTCGACAGTAACTGCAATACAATACAATATCATAATTCAAATTAGCAACAAATTGTAAACATGTATTCATGGCTATAGAATGCATCTACTGTTCAAAGGATAGTGATAATATTTTTCCGTCCAAACCTCGTATCCAGTTATTAGATGTGAATAAGTCAAACAGCAAAATATTCACAAAGTGAGACGTCTGCATCGAAATAAAAGCTTCCTAGACAGAGTTCATGGCAAACTCAAACTCGCTATTTGGAAATTCTAACCGAACCCGGCTTAAAATCGGTTTGAATGATAAAGATACACTTCCATCTTACCAATCTCTTCGAGTTTC